AATGTTTATGTTGCAAACCGACACATATCACAAAAAGTCCTTCATAATTAATACTTGAATAAGACGTACTGAAAAATATGCTCATATTTATACTAATAACTTATACTTCTTGTACTGACCAATGTCTGTAACCATCAAGTAGTTCTCGGGTAGATATTCAGAATTGGAATGAATAGAAATACATCGATGTAATACTTACTTGTAATACTGTATTTAATCTGATGTAATACTTTTAAGTAAGGTTTAGAGACCTTTGTACATGCACCTAAAAGCACTTTAGTCTCTATAGAAATAATCCATAGAATTCAAAGAAGTTGCTGAAGAAAGGAAGTCAATAAAATGTTTGCGATCTCGAAAAAAAGCGCACAAGTTTAAATTTTCGAAATACCAATGAGCTGCCCGACAGCGCACAGGGGAGACTTTCATAGGCCGCCCTACGCCGTCCGCACTGCGCATGGTGAACGACCTGCCTTACATTATTACACTTTATCTAGCATTGAGAGTTCACTTATTACTTCACACGACCAGTGTGTAATTTTAAAAGTCAAAAATTAATAAGAAAAAAACACGATGTACGAGCTTCTCCGCCCGGGAGCTCTCCCCGCAAGAAATCGTTCACCACCTGCCCCGGGGGCGCCGCGCCGCCGCGGCTTGCTACCAGCGCGAAAGTTGCACTGACGCCTACAAACCTAAAGGGCTACCTCACGCATTGCGCAATGCTTGAAGTATTCACTTAGGTTTGTAGGCGTCAGTACGCGTTTCGAGCTGGTAGCGGCAGCACGCCGCGCCGCGCCGTAGCGTGCCTGAAACTTGCCCACAATTAATAGGTCAGGATGTGTAAATGTAGCCAATTTGACATCAAATTCGAAATTAGCGACCAATAATAACATCTGTTACGAAACTTACGTGATTTTTCAGTTACTATCCGACTTATTTCTTCCTGTTCTTGAGTTTTGGACCATAGTGCGCCGCGGGCGGCGGCTTTCGTGAAATTCTCCACCTTGCTCAATCGTGAGCTGCCAAGACTCATCAAAAACTTAAGGCGAGCTGATTGAGCTAAGGAAGACATTTTGAGGCTAATCATTCTGCGAACCTCACTCAACAACAGAAATTTACCCGCGTCCTAATTTTTCAAGAGTGTCTCTTACATTCTTCTTTAGCCCTACATAGACGATCAAATTCCGATCAAAGTAGACATGCTGATGACTGGTGGTCACCATCTACCATCAAATTTTGACGGGCCGCACTTTTTTGTTCAAAGTAAGATCAGAACGGAGTGCCACCATTCATCATTTCCTGCCACAGGGAACATTTCTGCCAAGTTTTCATTTTAAAATGAAGCATATTAATGAGTTTAAGACTGATGACTCCCGACACTTTTATGCTACTTTGATCGGAATTGGTTCGGGAATTTGATCGTCTATCGAGGCCTTTTCACTAGAGGTTTCGTTTTTAAGGTAGCTTAAACGTACATTAGGTTTTTTCCTTCTGATGATATTACATTTCAGTGACTACACAGCTGACTACAATATGTCGTATTGGTTAACGTCAAAGGAGGAGATCAACGTCACTAACGTCAGAAGCCTCTCAAGCGGATGAAGCTCGCGGCGTTGCACTCTAAGCTCGAACATCAAGCCCATCATTGATATGTTTGGTGTTCTACCTTACAGTGCGATGACGTGCGCAAAATCATCAACCAACAACCCCGAAAAGCATCAACCACCACCCCGAAAAGCAACGCTGTCTCCGAAACTACTCATCCTTCCATCCCGCAACATGAATAATCACAATTTTTACCGATTGTATAATTGAATCAGTGAGAACGAAAACACACCAATTTGGTAACTAGAAAATGCTCTATTTTCATTAAAGACAGCCAATTTTCATTGAAGCCATTGAAGTCAGTGCATCTGTTCTAACTTGGGCCTGTAAATTGTCCTTAAGTACTTGTATTTCGGCACCAAAAATATTTTTCTTAGACCAATTTCTGTGCGATTTTGTAAGTGTCTTAATTATTTAAATTTTATCGAGTTGGTGTGCTTTCGTTCTCACTGATTAAATTTAGGCCCTTGGAAGACTGGGTTCCCAAGTGCAGTTTTTGATATTTTAAAAAAAATGTATGTTCAAAGTTTCAAAATGACGTGGAGCCTCATTGCGGAGAGAAAGTTCGAACTTACTTTTTGTGGCAATAAAAATTGGATTCCAGTATTAAATTTTTCATAGAATATATTTTGGGACTGATTTTAGTTTGAGTCCCAAATATCCTAATTTCTTCACAATCTGCATTTATGCGCCGTGTCTTTCAAGCCTCTCAGTTGTAACTATCTTAGGAAAACCTCTATTCTCCGGGTGTACATTATCCATCGGAGGCAATTCAAAGTGAACATTTGCGAAATTTGTGTGATCTAGTTTTCATGAAGAACCGTTTCACGCCAGTTTCAGGCGTGTAAAATAACGCAGTTCAATTTAATTTCATCACCTTAAAAACTGTATGCTGTTAGTAAATATCTGATACATTGTAAAATTTATTTGAATCGTCTCCAAAATTAGAAATCAACCGATTTTAGACTCCAAAACATAAAATTGATTATAAGTTGACTATAAGATCGTGTAATTGATCATAAGACATGAAGTTGATTTTTGAGTTTTTGGCGGGGCAGCGGATAAAATCATTGTAATTCTATCAATGAACCATGATTGAAACTTTGGAAAATAGAGCACATTTTCCCAGTGCCGGTCAGAAATGTAAAACCATAAATTTTAATTGTAAAATGAAATGTTCATGTATTATAATAGTAGTATGTAGACATATGCTATATTATAGTTACGGTACAGGTAATTAGTAATCGCTGGCAATTTGCAAGCCACTGGTGAACAAATACACAAACATGAAATTCAGATATAATGGACCAAGATTATAGCAGCAATTATTTTGCTCCTGATGTGAGTAAAATGTTTTCCTTCGTAAAAACGTAGTGATAGGAAGCACATATAGGAGAACGTGTACGGAGGACCATGATCTAAGTTGAGTTTGGATCGGACCGACAACTAAATTAACTCCTTGACAATGCGTAGAGTATCACAAGACATGAAGGCGCTTGAAGATCGTGCTATTTAAAACAGTCAAGTTACCCATCGAACTTTCATCAGGCTGACGTGCATTATCGCTTTATCAAGACAACATGGAAGCCACTTGTTGCCATTTGCTTGATCGTCACCGATTGCTAATTGCCTGCAACTCATAAAATAGTTGTAATAAGTGTTTATAAAGTGTATCCCATGCAGATTATTTCGTTTCAAATGAACACTCAAATTATTTGATTCTGCTCATTTCATGATATCATTGCATAAAAGATATCAAATCCAAAAATAATGACACCTTTTTAAGGCTGTAAATCAATGTTTAATCTACTCAGAGGGTTCGCCGTTTGACGGCTTTATGGCAAACCCTTGAAAGCACTTCGCGCCTCAGGCGTTATGCGTTTTGCGTTATTTTTATGATTTTATATTAAGACATGTATATACTTGCTTTTGCCAGTTTTCATCATAATACTCTAAATTTATTTGCAGATCATTTTAGATATTTACGAGGGGGCTATGCCCCCTGACCACTACGCGGTCCAACCCTCTTAGGGCGCTTCGCGGGCCCTTGTGGCGTAATATAAATATAGCGGGATTATTCTGGGACCGTCTCCAATTAGTAGTACACGGAGAAAAAAAACTCGTGCGTGGGACCTGAAGTTTAGGTCATATGGATCTCTGAAGTTTTCAGATTGAGCATCTGAACACTTTAGGTCTAGCTGCCGAAGTTCGGATCATACATCTGAAACTTCAGTTCTTACATCTGAAGTACTTCAGATGTGAGAACCGAAGTACTTCGGATGTGAGAACCGAAGTACTTCGGATGGGAGAACCAAAGTACCTCAGATGTAAGAACTGAAGTTTCAGATGTATGATCCGAACTTCGGCAGCTAGACCTAAAGTGTTCAGATGCTCAATCCGAAAACTTCAGAGATCCATATGACCTAAACTTCGGGTCCCACGCACGAGTTTTTTTTCTCCGTGTATCAAACATCATGAAAATAGGCCAATAGGCAAGAGACCAACTAGCGGCAACCCACGAGAGACCCTTTAGTTAGTCCATCATTTTATCCCATAGTCCACAAGAACCCAATAGGAGGAACCCGATCCTGTTTCAACCAACAGGATCGCTCCTTATTCCTTATGCCCTCTTTTTCCATCAATTTTAACAATCAGCCCGGAGGCTTGAGAGCTTACAGTATAAGGTGTACAGCTTTTAACTAATCCCGAAGCTTTTCTTGTGTATAAAAAAAAAATTGACGAGTATTGAATTTTAGGATTCATAAAATCAGTTGTTTTTATTTATTTGGACGTACTTATGCCAAAAGGAACTCTGTGGAAGTGGAGAGATGGAGGTGTGCTCGCGGACGCTGCATCAGAAACAATGCAAACGTGGACATAGTTCCTTTTGAGAAAATGGAAAAGCGGGCTTTGCCATTAAATCAAAATGAACTGAGCGCTATCCCGCGAGCCGTGAGCATGTGACAAGAGCCTTGTGGACAGGGCTCATGAGTTAAAGACTAACAACCTAGTCGTCGTCGCTCGCGTCGCGCCTCCTTGCGCCGGGTCCTCACCGCTGACGTCACTGGCGTTTTTAAAGTCCTATTCGTTCTTATGACCCCTCACTAACGAGCACACCACCCCATCTTTCCAATCGCACATAGTTCCATTATACGTCCATTTTTTACATATAAAAAGCCGCTTTTATAGCGCCGCCTCGCGCTCTGCGACGCTCAATCGCCATTGCCCTCTATCCTCCCAGAGATCATCAGGCAATTGGCACCTTCTGATCTCCTCCTCCACCCCTTGTCGCCAACCTTTTTCCAGAATTTTTCAGAAATTTTTCCGTCCATTTTTTCAGAATATTTTTTAAAAATGAATTGTTAATGAATGCTGGATGTGTGTTGACGATGTTGCAGACGAGTTCTGCGAGGAGTACCCGCACAACCTGATCCCGACGCCGGGCTACTGGATCGAGTGCTCGCGGCAGACGAAGGCGTCGTCGGGGACGATCTGGGACGAGTCCGAGTCGGAGCGGGACGAGGACGGCGGGCCGGGCGGCGGGGGCGGGGGCCGGGAGAGGGACGCCCGCTTCGAGGACGAGTTGGACGAGGAACCAGAGAACGGGAGCCAGAAACCCGGGCGCCGGAAAAACTCGGACCACTGCCTCCTCGAAGACGACGAGGACGAGGAAGAGGACGATGAAGAAGAGGAAGTCCCCAGGTAAGCCCTCTAAGCTAGACCTCATTTTATCAATGTCCCCCACCCACCACCTCCGGGCAGAAAAAACACACTTCACTCTGAAAACAAGTTAATTTGTATGGCATTAAGCAGAAAGGAACCAAGCCACATCAGCTATTGCCAAATTTAATTGGGAAATTTAAATTTCTACATGAAACAGATGCGCCCTGGTAAAAATTGGCGATAGGAGCTGCGTTTCAAAATACCATAGGAGTTCTTATAGCCGACTGAAGAAGGCGATAGAAAATCATATAGCTGGCTGTAGAAAGTGAAAAAATCACACGGCGGGGCTACACGAAGCGATAAAAAATTATACAGCCGGGCTATAGTTCCTATCGCCGGGCTTTACACTTTATCGCCTGGCTGTTGCTTTTTCGCCATCGCCTATAAAAGGCCATAAGAAATTGTGTAGAGATTCGTGTGCTTTGTAAATTCCTAAGTTTGTACGGAATCACCTTAATATTTACAAAGCGCACATTATATTTGCCTTTACTACATATTTTTTTTCATCAATTAAAATGAGAATAATCCATACAGAGTGTGGAAACATTTGAAAGTCATGAGTTGAAAAACGCTGACTCCACGAGATTAAATATTAGAGCCTAACACAAAGCGGAGCGACGGCGCACTGGCGCCTACAAACCTATGAGGGATACTTCACGCATTGCGCAATGCGTGAAGTATCCCTGTTAGGTTTGTAGGCGCCAATGCGCGTTCCACGCTGGCTGCCCGCCCGCCGCGCCGCAGCGTACCTAGCATACCGAGCTTTCCTCGCAAAATAAATGGCCCAAAAAGAGAGCGGTAGTCCAAAAACTCACTGAGTCCTAGCATCCGTAATTAATAACGTTTAGCATATACTTTATCGCCAGGCTGTTGCTTAATCGCCATCGGCTATGAAAGGCTAAAAGAAATTGTGTTGCCGGCTATAGAAGCTATTGGAAATCTTACAGCCGGATGTAGGTCTATGGTATTTTGGAACACAGATTCCACTGCCAATTTTTACCAGGGCGCGGATTTTTGTGCACATTTCGGTGAATTTTCTGCATGGTGCGAAGGAAATTCCTTAAAATTCCAACGGAAATCCGAAAAAACGTTCTCTTGTGAAAACTTAAAGTGCCTGGTAACATTTGTCAATAGCTGATTTGGCTCCCATTTTATTTTTATTTTATTTTTTATTTTTTGAAGGAGCAAAAATCAACATCATTCCTTTTCCTCTCGCAAAGTGCTCTTCAATCGGGAAACAAATTTTCACTCACCAGTAAAGTTACCCGATTTATCTTGAGATTTTTTAAAGAAAAACTGCATATTTATTCTTGTAAACAATTGAGATTTATGAGTTAACTTTTCAACTTAGAAAAGGATTGATATGCTTTCGCCTCAGGAACGACAAAGCATCAAAAGCAACTCGGCACTGATGGTAACATCTCTAGTTGCTCGATTTAAAATTTTAATGAAACGAATGCCATAATCTTTACTCCCGGGTTTCATGTTCCAGGAAAAAGACGTCGATCGAGGAGCAGTGGGAGAAGAACGGATGCTTCGAGCTGACCTCCGTGGAGCAGGAAACTTACGAGAAGTATTTTTACGGCAACGAGCACTGGAACTACTTCACCATCGACGAGGACCTAGGCCCCGTTATCTTGAGCATCAAACAGGAGATGTTGAATGGAAGAGATCAGTTCAGGTAAGCACTTACCGGGGGGTTCCAGGCGCCTGCGCCCCGTACATTTGTCAGAATCCCTTAAATACACGGCTCGCTTACATGGCGTCTTATTAAGCTCCCAATTTGCACGATGATAGAGCCGGTCCTGGAAATGGTCGCTAATTAAAAGGGATTAGACATCGCGTTTGTCAAGTTTCAGCGCCGCGTCCTGGGGAAATTGTGCAGAACGCAGAGCTATAAATGGATTGCATTTTGCAAAAAGGAACCACAAGCATTGCAATGATGCTAAGATTGTGAAACTTCATCTTTTGCAATAAAATTGCGGAAATCGTGAAAAACTATGCAATTTAGATGGTAATTTCTGTCTTAAATTTACAGTTTTTAGCGAGTAATATAGAATTTATTAATGGGTAGTCGGGTTTTTCCTCCAAGACAAAAGAAGTTGCACAATCTTAGCAACATTGCAATGCTAGTGGTTCCTTTTTGCAAAATGCAATCCAAATTGTCACTGTGAACATTGTTTTTATTATTTAATAGATCATTGGCATATGATATATTCCGAGGACGGTTTTTCCGGAGCACGGGTTGTCTATCCATATTCTTCAATTATATTTTGTGTGTACGTGGCCTCTGTGTTTCCGCGAACCGTCTTTTGACAGCATTCCGTAATAACAACTAGGACCAAATTGCAATTAAAGTATCAATAATTTTTTTAACAGTCGTTGTTTTGGCAGCTAAAAAATGTGAGCCTGTGACGCGATGGCCGGAAACGCCCTGCTTCCTCGGTGATTTTTTTTTGAAGTTTGGGCTTGCGAGCCCATTGTTTAGATTTTATACTTTCGCGTTTGCACTGACGAAATTTAATTTTACTATCGTTAACGCAGCATTAAAATATAAGTAAATCCTTTAAGTTGAAAATCAGAGGTTGACGGTGTGCCCGAAAGAGAGCTCGTGCATCTCATATTCATTTTGATTTATCTGAGTCAGAGCAAAGGCTTCTTTTGAGCTGTTATCGTAACCTTTTCCTCCGACTAATTTAACTGCATTCCAGGTCATACTTTGTAAAGCAGCTATTTCACACCACTTCTAAGCATTATTAAATTACATCAGACGGAAAAAATAACACAAATATGTTCAATAATAAATGTTCCGATAAAAATATGAATTTGCACTCTACCAGTGAATTCACGGAACTGCAGTCTTGATGCTTTCCAGATTTCCCAAAGAAAAAGCGCCTGTATCATCATTTTTATTCCTCTCATGTGCAATTTTCTACCTTTTGTCCATCCTAATTACTTTTTCTGTCCCTATCCTCCATTTTCTTTCCTTCTTCTCCTCCGCCTTCTTTATTTATTTTTTTCCATGACAGAAAAAATATGGTAAATGAATACAGGTATGAAGGTGATGATAGCCATGATACTATCAATCATATTTTACCATAAAAGGTATAGTATCGTAAAGTCGAACACGACTTATGTTATATTCCTCTAAAAGTCTACAGGGGTGCAAAATAAAGTAGACTTTCAGTTGCCCTTACCTACATAGTCCAGTCACTTGCACACACGGAAAAAAAATTTGCTGATTCAACAATTCAATTGCTAAAAACAGCGAGTGCAATGTTTCAACGCAGATTTTACAACAACAAAATGCTACTTTAACCACATAGTAAACTAATTTAACCACGGGTAGCATTTTTTTGTTGTAAAATCTACATTGAAACATTGCACTCGCTGTTTTTAGCAATTGAATTGTTGAATCAGCAATTTAATTTTTTTCCGTGCACTGAAAAAAAAAAGTTCGGTAAATCCGAACCAGTCAGGATCATATGGAACCACGATTTTGTTCGGTACACACGACTGAATTATTCGGTCTGCTCAGCCGAACTGTTCGGTCCACTGAACCGAACTGTAAGAATTTATTATGGTTCGGTCGCACAAACCGAACAATTCAGTTGAGCAAACCGAATAATTCGGTTGTGTGTACCGAACAAAACCTGGTTCCATATGACCCTAACTAGTTCGGATTTACCGAACTTTTTTTTTCAGTGCACATTTTTTTAAGATTTGCAACTTTTAAAGAATGCAACATGACAATAACGGGGTTGACTTTTTGTTGTAGGGTACTGGTGCGAGCGATTAGCTACACGGTGCACGGGCTCATACCAGCGTCGTGCGTGTTCGCGGATCGCTACAACAGGGAGGAGGTGGTGCGCTCTCTCGGCAAGGAGGTGAACATCAACCCCCCGCTCACTCTGGGCCAACTTCCCGATACGCCCGAGGAACTGCTCAAATTGGACCAGGTCAGGCTAAATTTCAGCCGCAACTTCATTGTTCAATCAAAGCTGGAGAGCCGGATTTCCATGTTCCATTGCCTCGGCCTCGTCTTGAATCGCTCGATGTCGAAACGGAATATGCCCATCATGTGATGAGCCCTAAAGTGCATGCGTTCTTGCGGAGCTTGGAGTTCATTGATGGATGGCCGTGTGAGGTTTAAACATTCGCTGATTCCTTTGTGCTTACCAGCACGAGCACGCATTCGATCCACTGTCCATATACTTGATTAGACTTGAGCAATTAAGGCTCTATTCGAGGCTCGTTCCGAGAGCAATTAACCAATTAAATCCCAGAATCTTACTCCTGGAGAATGGACGATTTTCAATCGATATAAATCATTGAGCTTAATGTCTAGAATTATTGGATTAATTCAATTTTATTTATTTGTTTCCATTTTTTTCTTATATTTGCAGGTGTTCATCAAACCTGATCTTAAAGTCGGAGTGATCTACGTAAAGGAGGGCCAATACACCGAGGAGGAAATTTTAGACAATAATGAAAATAGTCCATATTTTTCAGAATTTTTAAAAATATTAGGTGATCAAGTAACTTTAAAAGGTGAGTGCAGTTTCTCATGCATATTTTACTTTATCGTCCTCTATCAAAGCGTGCGACTAGTTCAGCGTTTCTTTTCAATTTAAAGTTGTTTGTGAAAGAAGTTCATCTGAAGTTTCAGACGAGCTTTTGATCCATGAAAAATAGCCGTATCTTTTTTTAGCTTCATTGCTCCGAAGGAAATATTCCATCGTCATCTAAATAATTTTGAATCATCGATTATACTCCCTTCCAACAAAACTAACTTTCACTGGGTTACATTTAATTTGAATTATTATTATTTGTTTTTTGGTGCATACGAGTATAGTTCCATATTTCTCTCTAAAATTTGATTGAACTTCAACGTGAATTGCCAAGTGAAAAAAAAACGTGAAATTTCAAGGGCGAAGTTTAAGGAAAGTGAAGAGGGAGATTATTCAAGCAGCACGCATCCAAGATGAATTAATGTGAAGTCCTCTCCCTCTCTTCCTTCCCCTTCCTGCGATCGCATGATAACAGAAGCTCATTTTAGGGATTAGACTTGGGTTGCTTCATGGTGCAGACAGTGGATGGTTCATCAAGTGTCGCGAATTCAGATGTTAAAAAGACGCCGGAAGGTATCCGTAAGATTGCAGCCTTTCAAGCGGAGGGGAAGCTTGTGTAAAGCGTTTTAAATTAATCCGTGAAGAGTTGGATTAGAAGTTTGATGATGATAAAAATAAATTCCGTCGGAAAAACAGGTCCGCACATAAATTATAAAACTCGGACGAAGGAGCAGAGGCAAAATATTGTCAGAGTGTGTTAGTGCTTGGCGCAGATGCTATGTTTCTGTTTAAATCTTCAGTTTATAGCATTTGCTCATTGCTTGTTGCTGTGTAACGTTCAAACGTTAGGTAACAGTTAAGGCGGGTGTTACGGACCCTTTAATTTTGGAATAAAGCAGATCAGATTTTTAAAATTCAATCATTATAATTTTTGTCGTTCTTCGATTTGTTTTGATTGTCCCGAATCCGTCGCTCTACATCACTCTCTTGTCCGGTTAATCATAGAGTGAGTCAAATGGTACAAAATATGCACGGCGTTTATGAGATAACTAATCGGGCGTGGATGCTGGTTATGTAGCCGCCTTCCGAAATTGAAGGCGCTTTATCCGCCATCAAGAACACTGATCCACCAGCTCCTCGCCAAGGAGGGGAGAATTATCCTTTCGAACTTATTGTTCTGCTTCCTCCGTAGAAAACAATTTACACATGACAGTGAACAACACAAATAGAATCTTCATTGCGTTGTTCTTTGATGAATTTTCGTCATTGAAGGGTGGGTGAGTTACGTTACTTCAGCACTTTAATTTAGCATATTGTCGTTAAAAATCATAAATAACGTATCTCGGTTTGCGACGTTACAGTCTTCCTGTCATTTTTAATTGTTTTTGCAATGGAAAATCACCCAATGTCAATTATTAAATTCGTCTGTGATTTTTCTTCTTTGTGCGAGAAAAATTCTGTGAAAACTTCAAGGTATGATTTTGATTTTTTCTCTTTTAAAAAAATAAAAAAGGAGCGGATATTTGTAAACGTCGTAAGCGAGATACGTGGTTTGGAAGTATCGCCGTCGATATATATATTTATGAAAGGTCACACATGATCAAAGGGCCGCACTATATTCCTATCTCTATGGTCCCTTCAAAATTTTTTGTTACAACTTCACTCTTAGCTGGGAGAAATCTCGGAAATATCCCTCCCATGTTGGTCTCCTTTCAATCATGAAAAAGTACCTTGAGAATTTCACAGCGAGTCGTTGAACTGCTGGCAACAGTGACCCACTGACACCGGTCTTTCAAGAATGATAATCCTGCGAAAGTGATAAGCCCCTGACGATCAACTTCATCTCGGAATGATTTTTCACGGTTGGGACCTCCTTAACCCACCGCATATCGCAAGCCACACCCGCTAAACTCACATTCATCCTTCGAGATGCAAGCCTTCCGTATTCAGGGCACTTTTATCAAAACTCAGCTGAAAAGATGCAAAGCGGAAAAGATACGAGCGAATCTCAAGCAGCGAGTTAATGTCTGTTCGGCATGTTCCCACAAATCGTTGCGACGTATATACATTTTTCCGCTATACTTTTCTCTGAATTTTACTCAGAATGCACGTTACATATGACTTTTAACGAGGTTGTAAAATAATGAACTATTTTGTCGAGAAAACAAGGCAAGAAATTTCAATCAGAGTCAAAAATTTTGAGCTGAAAATTTGAAAATTGTGAATTGTGTGTGAACCCTTTAGCCTTGTTTTTTCGCTAGGTGTAGACCCAGCACAATTATACCATCTCCTCACATACAGTTTGGGTCACGTTTCTCAGCGTTTTTTCCTTGTTTATAAGACTTTTATCGAGAATTTTAACCCTACAATAAGGAAAATGTATGGCTTTAAAAAGCAATTAGTGGTTTCATATGGAACACCACTAATAGCCGTAAATGAACTAACAATTCTAGGTCTGTGAATCATACTAAGGTATCTTGTACTATACCGGAGTATATATACCATCACTAAGGCATATTGACGGCGTAAGGCCACAATCAAAAAATATCTCATTTGCGGTGTCTGAAAATCACCGCCTCTATGTTATTTTTTTTAAAGGAGAACAAATTGACATCGTTCCGTGAAGTTTTTGCAGAATTTTCCTCGCACAGAGAAGAAAAATCAAGGCAGTGTTCAAAAATTGTCGTTCATTAGTTTTCCGTTTAAAAAATAAAATATGACAGGAAGTTCGCGACGTCACAAACCGAGTTATGTGATTGCCGACTTACACCGTCGATATGTTCTATTACTGCATGTTGCCTTTACTATTAGTGGTATCCCATAGGAACTACTAATCGATTTATAAGCCATAGCTTTTTCTCAGTTACATGATTCCAAGAACGTTTGAGGAAATGAACAATACATGGAAAGTTAGTTAGTTAGTTAGTTAGTATATTTTAAGACATTCAGCGTCACGGACTATTAACGTCTTTACAGAGCATTTTGAAAATGGGATTATATACGGAAATTTAGATTTTTAAATTGAGGGAGGTGAAAAGTTTCAGATTTTGGTAGTAATATTGGGTTCATCGCATGTAAGTGGGTTTGTATTTCTGTTGATTGTAGGGGAGTAGATCTGTGATTGGAGATATCTGAAGGCAGAGCAGTCCATAAGTACGTGTTTGATGGTTAGAGGTGCTAAATTACAGAAGTGACAGATGGGTTGATTTTCTTCGGAGATGATTTGATTGTGAGTGAAAAACGTGTGACCTATCCTGAGACGCGCAATTTGGACCTCAGTTACCAATGGTTAGAGGGGATAAATTACAGAAGTGACAGATGGGTTGATTTTCTTTGGAGATGATATGATTATGACTGAAAAAAGTGTGACCTATCCTGAGACGCGCAATTTGGACCTCAGTTACCAATGTTTGGGGAGTCCAAGTATAAATATTCGGCCGATGAAGCTGAATTCGCGGGTTGGAGAGGAAATTGTTTGTCTCGCACGACTCGCAATCGGGCGGGCATGTATTTTTAAAAGGTTTTAAGTCGGAGTTATAGGCGGCCCGGATGTTCAGGGACACATAACTCGGCGACTCCGTGAGGCATACTTTAATTTGTTTGGGATAAGCAGTCGCGTTCGGCGGTTCTCTGCGCACTTGCCTGTCAGACCACTCGTAAACTAATCCCCGACGAATCTCCCGCAGGGATGCGGCTCGTCCCTCGACAATAATGCATCTCCGAGCGAGGACCCGCTACGAGCAGAAAGTTACTTCTCAACCACACTCGCGGCACGGCACGGCGCGACGCCCTGAAAACGGCGGACGCAACTTGGGCTCAAACTTGTTTCCGATCCGGAGATGGATGAGAGCTTTTAACCCGAAAGAATCAATTATTAATTGATTGTAGAGACGACGCGGTCTTCAAGCTACGCACGATGGAATAAAGTAGAGGCGGTTTCCCCCAAGTTGGAACGTGGGCCTTTTCTTTAGCTCGAGTCAACGGGACGAAAATGCAAAGAGGCGTTTTATTCTCTTTTTCCAACAGTATATACAGAAATGAAATCCCTCCGACTAGAATTTTGTCAGTTATGGACCACTAGACAAGGTGCAAATTTCAGCATTTTGATACATGTTTTTTAACCAAAATGTCACGTAAAGCACGCCGCATACAACGAAAATTGCCGAAATCAACTCCTTACGAAGATATTTAATGATTCTTGGTGCGTGAATTCAAACCATCCACAATTCTGGTCAAGAAACATGTATCAGAATGCTTAAATTCGTTCCTTGTCTAGTGGTCCATTGAGTATCTATATGAAGATAGTATCGACAACGTCGAAAAAGCCTGGATACACGCTCAAGTTTCCTTCCATTTCCGATCAAAATTATGACAAAAATGGCGGTCAAATTTTTGCAGGCCGCAAAAATTTGATGGTAGATGGTGCGCACCAGTCACCATTTGATCGGAAATTGATGGAAATCTGAGCGTGTATCCAGGCCTCAATGTGGAGCTCTTAGGGCCTAAAAGGGTAGCCAACCCTCTTGCACGAAAAACACTGGATAAATGTAGCTGCCAATCTTCAGACTCCAGAATTTTTATAAATGAGCGTCCTTCCACGAAAATGAGTAAATTTTTGCAGAAAAGAAGTCTAATACGTGTTTTACAATGAATTCATAGGTTTGCTGCCCTTTGGGGCCCTATGAGCTCCATGCCTTAACCTCAAAATTATACTGACATGTCTGCACTCTCCCCATATAGGTACTCTTGTCAGAAAAATGACCCATAATAATGTCATTAATGTCCTCAATAAAGCCGTGGCAGTCTGACTTTTAAACTTCATCCGGCTTTGTATGCAAGATTAGACGATGCAAAGTCCTATTTGTGCCGTGTAATAAATTGATTTTCAATGTATTAGCCTGACTTGATTTTCAACAATCAGGCTGCAGATTAGCCGATGCTACAGTTTCGATTTATTGGTGCGTGGTGAATGAGGCGTTGGGTGCAGAAAGAGCATTTCTAAGTTGTGGTGTTTCAGAATCTCCAGTGTTTATTTTTATTTTAGGGAGGAAACTAATGGGTGAATTTTTCTGAACTTTAGCGTTTTTAGCACTACAAAATCATACAGAATATTCAGTTACAGTTACAACCAATTACAATCATTAATGACTTTAATTATAATGGATGAAACGGTGGCGGAGATTTTGAGACTCTGAAACCAAGAAAATGTCCTTTCTGCATTCAGCGCTTCGAATATCGATGGGAAAGTACCGACTGAATTTGGGCCCAGGCTTATAATGTAGCTCTTGCAGTGCTTCAAAAATCCACAAATTGAAATCAAACCAAACTAGGCGGTAGTCCTCTCCCTGAAAACACTTAGTAGATTCTTAAGTTTTTTTTGTTTTTTTTTAAAATTCAGGCATCTCAAGTCGTTAATTTTTACAAGTCCCGTAAAGGAGAATTTGCATCTGGGTGAGCAGTCAGACTCTTTGTGCAAAAACATGCCCAAATGAAAGCGAGTACAAAGTAGGTAATTTCTAGCCCGTGATGACAACCTTTCCCATTTATTCAGCTCTATTTTATCATGACGTGCATGGAATACAATCGAGTTGCCGTGAGGCTCTTGGAATGAGTAGAGCAGCTTAAAATAACTTGCTAGCTTGGTTGTGTCCGAAATCCACTCTCATGCACATGTAAAGCTTTCAAAGTTGTGCCCGTTGTGACCATGCACGGACACAAACCGGAAGCGTTCTTTCAAACCTCCTCATGCGCTCAGTCCTACAGCAGAAATAATTACATTTCTACAAAGATCGTTTCATCCATAATTTAAGAATCACCGTCTATTATAATTTGTAATTTGAATCCTGCATTTCAGTTTGTCGTGAATTTTTGATTAATCGTAATTTTTCTAATGCACAACGTGAATTTTTATTAAGTTAAGGCGAAAAGTTCCATGTACACTGGGACCTCCATTAGGATTTTTCGGTAAAAACAAGATCTCGATGATCTTTATGCAAATATGATAATACCACTATTTGGACGTAGTTCTGCTAAACAGAACTACAGACGTATGGGAAATATGGAGCGTGTTGTACAAAGCTGCACAAGAAAAAGTGTAAAAGTGCGGACGTGATTCTTTTTGTGGAAATGGAAATTATGGATTTTACATTAAATCAAACGGAACTAAGCGCCAAAATCTGCGGCACTCATGAGCCGTGGGCATGTGACAAGAGCGTTGGGAACAGGGTTCATGAGTTAAAGAACCACGATCCAGATCCCTCGTCCCGGTCGCCGCTGACGTCACTGGCGCTTTATAATTCCCATTTATTCATACGGGCCTGAACTAACAAGCATACTCCTTCTTTCCCATCCGTCTCGAATTCCTTCAAACAGAAATACATCCATTTCAACTGATGCGAGTCCCTTTTTGTCTATCTTGAGATTGGAGGCGTTTTGATTTCAGTCACTTTCTTTAAAACTTACCTTGCAATTCATCGAGCTTTTAGTCTAAATTTGGTTTTGAAATCACGAATTTCACTTTTTTCAAATTTTACAACAGAATGAAAGAATGTCTCGAATGATGGCATACTTCTGATCTCAGTTTCTTCAAACGCTTAACTCTTGGAGCCACATTAATGATTACTATTAACTGAAACCATAACGTTAATTCATGAATGTCATTTTTATGCACAGGTTTTGATAAGTACAAAGGAGGTCTAGACACAGTGCACGATCTAACTGGCAGATACTCCGTCTATACGAATTGGCGAGGGATAGAAATTATGTTCCATGTCTCCACTTTGTTGCCTTATGAAAAACACGATCCTCAAAAGGTAAGGTATCATTGAAAAAATATATGTAAAAAAACATTTGTCGCTTTAGGGTTTTAGCGCTATCCATATTTCATCGAAATTTTAGGGGCTCGACCATTGCGCGCCATTCGTGTAAAATCCTTGAATACCCTAGTGTTAACCTCCAACTGCACGTCCCGAAAGATAAACTGTCATGACAAGTAGAACTGTTATTTATACGGGTAAAAGTGTAGAATGTAATCAAATGCTTCGTCATAACCTGAACTAAATTATTATGACAAAATATAATGAAGACTGCACAACAAAACATTACATAAAAACCCGGAACGTTGAATTTGATATATCTTGTTTTGTTGCGTAACCTTTCCCCACATAAGGTTTTTGTTTTATTTTATGATTTGGCTGATTTAATTGCTTTTTATCATTACGACAACTGAATTTCAGTTGTCATTACTAAGATCCTAACCGATTGGATACATTATACCGGTTTAAATGAATACACCACTAAAAATTTATCACAATTTTACTTATCTTAAATTTAACGGATTGAACTTTAAAATTACAAAAATTATAGTGTAGAGAAATAAAAATTGCCGGAGCAGTATAAAAGTAGAAAAAAAGGACGGAATTTAAAAGGTCATATTAAATCTCGCTTGCTCACTCGGCTCTGGCAATGGCTGCCACCGAACTCCTCTCATCTCCTCTAGGCGAATAAACGTCACTACAAGCTGATGGATGTCATAAAAACTTTTCACAGCATTGTCACAATCCAAACAAAACGGCGATAACACTGTGTCGTGGGAAGGTCACGCGCCAATTGAAACTATGATCGATCACTGCGAAATTCGTTTCGTCTGGCAGATCGTATACAAATGCAAGTGATCGTTTTCGTTCACGGGGTTGCTAAATTTGATGAAGCAGGGGATGAAGGTATGCGCGGTGAAGGAATAAATTTCATTACTTCAAATGCGATGAGCGTGCGAAGTATGATGTGTCATAAAAATATAGGAAAAATATGTGCGTAACGTTTTATATGATGACGAAGTTTTATGTCCTGGCTGCAGAGCCAATTCTTAGATCTCTAAAAATTGTAGAATAATTGCCAATTTAAGTCAAAATGATAACTTTTATCACTATTTTTATACAAAGAAAATACACATAGTTTTTTCTCTCTCTCATTTGTGTTTATGAAGAAAATCCAAGCTCACAGCTAGTCGTATGTTAGAAAATATCAAAACTGAGAAACAGCTTGGATGGCAAATACAAAATTAAAAAAAAAGAAATTTCTTCAAAGACGCAATCGTAATATCGCCAATTACAATTATTAAAAATGTATTAGACAATAATAAGTCGAAACAAAAACCCATGATATTTTGGAAACAGGTGTTGTAACATACTAAAATTAGTAAAAGATGGCATCTTGCCGAAATGCGTCCAGGAAAATAAACAGTTAATCTTCTATCATTTAAGATGCGTGTTTTGATAAACATTTTATTCCTTTTTTTATTGGATTTCATTAACAACACGCGAAATTCGATTCTCCAGTTCTCTGTTAAACACTAGGGATGATAAGTAAAATGCATTTTAGATTTGTAAAGCTGAAAGTACCGGAGCATAATCTTGTGTGATATCTTCCAGTTTTTACTAAAAAAAAGGAGAAAAAAATCAAAAGTCTAATCAGTTTTTTAAATAAAATGTCTTCATTTTCTTTAGTCTTATAACTCCTCAGAGACTGGGTGGCAAAATTTCATAAAAAATGAAATCCTGAAATTTCACGTTAAATTTTTTATGAAATTTCATAAATTTATGAAAAATAGTGCAAAATACCGGTTCCTTTTCATGTTCACAAAATGTAAACATTGTGACTTTCTTCCCTTTTTGTGTGTTTGAGTGTGGGTAGCAGACTTTAGCCCCTGAAAAATATGAAATATTTCACAAATCGTGAAATTTCATAAAATTTCCATTCTTTCATTTCTTTCTTACATTTCATGCCACCCTGCGCAGGGAGAGGCATAGTTTTTCATAAGAACTTATTTTTCACGAAGAACATCTCGCCTTGCATTGCGAAAAATCCATGTCAATAGCGAGGATGGGTGTGAAAATATTCAAACTGGCGTTGCTGCCCTACTGTTCCCAAATTCACCAACCCCTAAAAATGCCCAGGAAGGTTGCCGGGTAGATAAATTGGGCGAGGAAAAAACATGATGCATGAATAATTTATGATGTCTCAAAGTCATTTTTATGCCTCAATCCGCGGTGACGTAAATGGATTTTTAGCCGAGGTTCCTCACACATTCTTAGTAGTCGGGGTTGCAGAGTCTTTCGAAAAACCTCGGTTTCCTAACACGAACCCATCTATGAGAGGGCAATAAATTTGTTCAATCATCGGGCAACCTCGAGTTGAATTGTTTGTATTTTAAGCACTCTTCTAGGCCGTTTTCAAATGGGCCCTCTTACGGGTTCATCGCACCGGTTGTTTTGCCGGAGAGTTAAAATAATTAGGTTTTTTTCCGAAGGAACCCAAAAGGTTGTAGAAATGTGTCGGTGTGTATAATGGAGAGTGTTATAGGTTTTCTGTTGTGGTCAATTGTATAGTTTGTTTAAGTTTTAGTTTAAATCTTAATGTATTATACGTTTGCATTCAAGTATAAACATACGGTATAGGATAAAATGCGTGGAACATGTACAACATGTTAATACAATCCTAATAGCGAATATTCTTTATACTTTCACGGGATGACGCACGACTACCACAACTCTCTGTGATGTGACTCAAAAATGCATGAGCAGGTTGCATTCTGCATTCTGAAAGTTTCATGCCATTTTACCTTAAAAATGAAAAAAAGGAGGGAAAAGAAAATCACGTACATTTTCATAAGCCACCGGATCTGATTTGACTCGGTTGGTTCAGTTAGGGTTAAAAACCAAAAAGTATTTTCTCTAAAAAAAAATTTAACTTAGCGCAAGATTCTAAAAGAATTCTCCTCCCAAGATTACATCCAAAAATGTAAAAGAAAATCAAGAGGAATCTGTGTCTTTCTAGGAGAGTTGAATCTTCTAGTAAATCTCCACCTAGAGGTAAAAAAAAGTGTCTTCAAGATAACTTCAAATTATACCGTGACCTCTTTTTCTCGTGGATTGGGCGAAAAATATTTTATCCCCCTGGTAAATATTGGCAGTAGAATCTGTGTTCCAAAATACCATAGACCTACAGCGGCTGTAAGATTTCCAATAGCTTCTATAGCCGGCTACACAATTTCTTATAGCCTTTTATAGCCGATGGCGACCAAGCAACAGCCTGGCGATAAAGTATATGCTAAACGTTACTAATTACGGATGCTAGGACTCAGTGAGTTTCTGGACTACCGCTCTCTTTTTGGGCCGTAGTATCTTGATTTTTTTTGCGAGGAAAGCTCAGTACTTTTGAAGGATGCCTGCCATTCCTAATATGTTGGAGCGCCTTCAATTTCGATACTGTGCAATACCTCTGGTGTGAAATAGTTGCTTCAAGCGCCGTGGTACACTGCCGCGCGGCGCGGCGCGGCGGGCGGGCAGCGGGGCAGCCAGCGTGGAACGTGCATTGGCGCCTACAAACCTAACAGGGATACTTCACGCATTGCGCAATGCGTGAAGTATCCCTGTTAGGTTTGTAGGCGCCAATGCGCCGCCGCTCCGCTTTGTGTTAGGCTCTAATATTTAATCTCGTAGAGTCAGCGTTTTTCAACTCATGACTTTCAAATGTTTGCACACTCTGTATGGATTATTCTTATTTTAATTGATGAAAAAAAATATGTAGTAAAGGAAAATATAATGTGCGCTTTGTAAATATTAAGGTGATTCCTTACAAACTTAGGGATTTACAAAGGACACGAATTTCTATACAATTTCTTATAGCCTTTTATAGGCGATGGCGGAAAAGCAACAGCCAGGCGATAAAGTGTAAAGCCTGTCGATAGGACCTATAGCCCGGCTGTATAATTTTTTATCGCTTCGTGTAGCCCCGCCGTATGGTTTTTTCCACTTTCTACGGCCAGCTATATGATTCTCTATCGCCTTCTTCTGTCGGCTATAAGAACTCCTATGGTATTTTGAAACGCAGTTCCTATCGCCAATTTTTACCAGGGCCGGTGAGGTCCGTAAAGATTTTCAACGATAATTCTCACAATTCGGCGGAAAGGAATTATAATTTCCTTTCTGGGTGAGTTCGTTTAGGTATGTAATGTCTGGGAACCATCCTGAATGCCGTTAGCAGATTATTTTCAAATGTACAAATTTTTTCTTTGTTTTGTCCCCAGCTGCAAAGGAAGCGGCATATAGGGAATGATATTGTTTGTGTGGTATTTCTCGAAGCGGACAACACACCTTTTTCGCCGGCCTGCATCAAAACGCATTTTCTCCACACGTTCATCATTGTTCGTACGAGCCCTCGCATCAAGCGGAAACCGACTCGATATGAGGTGAGCTGTCTCAAAACTGTTTTTTCATAGTTCAATTGTGATCGGTCTTAATGAAAATGTTCCGTTTTAATAGAACAGGTATAATAACATGTACGAGCATGTATAATAGAACGAAAAAGAAGCCCCCCCCCCAAAAAAAAAAAAATGCAGCTAAAATAATATGATTTACTATGTGTAATTTTCTCAGAGATTTAGACTGCTACATTTAATAATTTACAGGATGTCAAAGGAAAGGCGCTCGAGAATTGCTGGGACAGAAATGGATAAAGCAAACCAAGCGGTGCCACTGAGGAAACGCTATTGCTATAATAAGTGGTTCATATGGAACACCACTGATAGTAGTAAAGGAAACATATAATAGTTAGTTAGTTACTTAGTTAACGACGATCAGCATCTAGGCTATTTACGTCGGGGACTGGGAAATTTTAAATTTTTAAATTTAATTTCTTGAAGAGTTTTAAAATATCTGTTACTACTAATAGTTAGTTAGTTAGTTTTAGTTAACGACGATCAGCATCTAGGCTATTTACGTCGGGGACTTGGCAATTTTAAATTTTTAAATTTAATTTCTTGAAGAGTTTTAAAACTGTTATAGCACATATACCTTAGTGATGGTATATATACCCTAGTATGGTACGAGATACCTTGTTTGGTTCACAGACCGAGAATCATTAGTTCATTTACGACTATAAGTGGTGTTCCATATGAACCACTAATTGGTTTATAAAGCCATAGATTTTTCTCCGCGTGTATAGTCAAGGAAAAATGATGTTGTTATCAAATAAAATGTGGAAGACCTTCTCACACGTTGGTCCAAATAAATCCAATCTGATCGGTGTTTAATTGTTACTTTGGTTTGGTTTGGTTTGGTTGAAAGGTTGTCAAATAAGTAATAAACCCTGGAAAAATCCTTTAAAAAAATAGCCGACTACTTTATGGAGCATCAGTGTCGTGTTTGAGTGCTGTTTGATCGTAAAATATTATAGTAAGACTTGTCTTCGAATTATCTTGAAAGTTTAAGACAATGCTCTCGAGAAAAAGCTTAGACATTCCCCGAGCCCAGAAGTTTTAGTCTCCTTTGTTGAGAGGGAGTAAAACGTCAGACGAATCGTCAGAATGCGTGGGAGGTGTGCATTGGACTCCACCCAGCCGAGAAGCGCCGAAGTTTAGAAAAGTTAAAATCGGCGAGGGAGTCTTCAACTTTTATGGCTCCATGAGACTGAATGCAGAGAGTGAATAAATTTAATTTCTTTGGTATTTTTGGATTTTGAGTGTTTGTTGAAAAAAGTAATTTAAATAACGAAACCTTCGCAAAAAAATCTCACGAGGTTAGTTCATTTTTAACGTGATTCTTGCCGATGCGTAACGGCTAAAACGGTAAAATCTAATTTCTAGTCATTCATAAACTCAAATTTCAGGCTTCCTCAAAAGTAAAACCGTGGTTTTTATCCTACACGAAAACAAAAAATACGCTAAAACACTTATAGTAAAACATCAAATCGTGCGAAGAGATATTCATCCATGTATAGATGGAACTCTGCACTTATGTCTGGACTGTAGAGGATTTTAAGACTCGTAACGTGATGTAGAGTATTTTTAAAATTTATTTTAATTCAATTAGATTCAAAATACGGATCGTCGATCCAGAATATATAACATGTGCGAGGATAATTAAATACATCTCAGTTCTCTTCGGAGAAGGACGTAATAAGTTAAACATTTCTGCTAAAGGTGCTAATTTTATTCCGTGGAGATAATGATTTCAGAAACATACGGATTATTGGCCATCCTGTGAACTTTCCGACAAATTTTATCCATCTTGTTAACGAGGAGATAAATTATTTGCCTCCTCTGTAAGATATGATTATTTGAACTTACGTCCTCCTACCGGACACGCTATGAGAATTCTTCAGCGGAAAAATTGCGATATTTTGAACTTGAGTTGCGACTTTTTTTACACAATTTTGGCAATAAAATAGCTATCATCAATTTTTGAGTAACCATCCTCAATCTTGTCGCATCTCTCTAAAAGCGCGTTCGATATGAAAATCTTAATTTATCACGATTTTGCGTTCGATAATATTGTAATAAATTTCCGTCCATAATATCGCGATTGTATTGCAAATTTGCGTCATAAAATCGCAATTTATCGCAGTTTTCGTCCAATAATATTGCAATGAAGCGATTTGGACAAAATTGCGGTACATTCTCCGATCAAACCGCAACTTATCGAGATCGCTGCTTCTTAGACACCGATGCAAATACGTCGAAATGAATATCCAATCGGGAGAAATCCGTGCAACATTCGAATGTTGATATGGTGCTCTTTCTTAGGACGGAAAAGGGAGCCTCTTACGGAATGGCATGGAAATCCCTTCGCTGAAAACAGGAATTGGAGCACGCGGGGCACGCGGCAGAAACTCAGAGCGGTGAACACTCCGCGCCTTCAGATGGGGTGCCAGCAACCCGCAAGCGGCATTCATCGGGACCTGTTAATTCATTTCGCTTGTTTACTCACTCTTTCGTGTTTATACTGTCCGTGTTTTAAATTGGACGCCCTTTCAGCCCTACTGCGCCGGGCAAAAGTTCATCATCGCACCGGCTTTGTTTTGATGGTTGCATATTACCGCCCCCCGGCCCTCGAGGGGGTGAATCCCACCGCCCCTCCCCCGCGCTCCGCGAGAGAGGGGTAATTGAAAAACAAGGCAGATAATGTGCGGTGAATAGAGCTGTCGAGGAATCTTTGTCGATTCATTTTTATCGCGTCAGATGGAGCTAGGAATGGCTGTCTCCCCTTTGATCCCTTTCAACGTGTATATGAGCAATAAAGGGAGATGAAGGACTAAATCGGGAAGTTATGGGCCGTATTTTTCCCTTATTTTTTATCGCGTGTCTTAGACATCCGAGGAGGAGGCTCGCAGTAACTGTTCTGTCCTAAACTGCCGTGCTGAGGAGAAAGTACGTGCGGATATCTGGATGCTGTCAAATCTCCGATGCTTAATTCTAATTTTCTTGGCAATTCATACATTTTTTTTAGCTTTATAATATAATTTTATTCATAATTAAATCTGAATCACCTGCAAATATCTAAGTAAACTAATCATAATTTTTTTAGATTCTGAATATTCTATTAAAGATAATTTGGGAACGTCCCGGTGTTAGAGCAACGTTTTTCCTTACCCTAGTAGTAATAAAGTCAGTAATGACAAGATCTCAACATTGCCGAGTAGCTAAACTTGAGCAGTGATCATTTTGCTTTTGAGTCTTCATGCGTGGACATTTTTTTTGCAAAAAATATATCACGAATCAAAGACCAAATGAATTTAGCCTTCATTTTTTATTTCTCGCACATTTTTCTTAGGGAGGAGGGGGGGGGGGTTAAAAGACTGCTCTGTATGTTTAATTTCAAACTTCACCATTTTTGTGGAGACAATGAAACATTGTCAAAGCTCTGAATTATGGTCTGGATATTTTTCTCGCTTTTCCTCAAGTTTTATCTTCCCTTTGAGGGTTTATTATCCTTGTATGTAACAAGCTGTTTTTTATCTCGTTTGTCGTCTAATATAAATAGAGTTTCCGTACTCAAGACAGAAAACCTGCAATGAAGACCATCTAAAAACCTGACCTCGTCAAAATACCAATGGAGGACCTCTCCTTGTCTCTGAAGATAGGTTCAGAGTGTCTAGATCCGCTTATGTCTCTGAATAAGGCTGTTTGCCAGCTCTTGAGGTCTAAATACACGATCAAATTCCGAACCAATTCTGATAAAAGTAGACCAGTTAATGACTGATGGTCACCATGAAACAGTCCTCTTTGATCAAAATTTGACGGTCCGTCCAATATCCGTTCTTTTGAAGGATGCCTGCCATTCCTAATATGATGGAGCGCCTTCAATTTCGATACTGTGCAATACCTCTGGTAAGAAATAGTTGCTTCAAGCGCCGTGGTACGCTGCGGCACGGCGCGGCGGGCGGGCAGTCAGCGTGAAATCCCTAAGTTTGTACGGAATCACCTTAATATTTACAAAGCGCACATTAGGTATATTTTCCTTTACTCCAGCGTTCCACGCGTTCCAGCGTGGAACGAGCCTGACACAAAGCGGAGCGGCGGCGCATTGGCGCCTACAAACCTAACATGGATACTTCACGCATTGCTCAATGCGTGAAGTATCCCTATTAGGTTTGTAGGCGCCAGTGCGCCGCCGCTCCGCTTTGTGTCAGGCTCTAATATTTAATCTCGTGGAGTTTTTCAACTCATGACTTTCAAATGTTTGCACACTCTGTATGGATTATTCTCATTTTAATTGATGAAAAAAAATATGTAGTGAAGGAAAATGTAATGTGCGCTTTGTAAGTATTAAGGTGATTCCGTACAAAGTTAGGGATTTACAAAGCACACGAATTTCTACACAATTTCTTATAGCCTTTTATAGGCGATGGCGAAAAAGCAACAGCCAGGCGATAAAGTGTAAAGCCCGGCGATAGGAACTATAGCCCGACTGTATACTTTTTTATACTTATCGCTTCGTGTAGCCCCGCCGTATGATTTTTTCCAATTTCTACAGCCAGCTATATGATTTTCTATCGCCTTCTTCAGTCGGCTATAAGAACCTATATGGTATTTTGAAACGCAGCTCCTATCGCCAATTTTTACCAGGGAGATGATGGAATTTTGGGTCTCATCCGTCATCTGATTTCCACACAACCGTGCTTATTTCATGCTTATTATTTCAATCAGCACGCTGTTTTAATTAATTTTAGATAACAATTTAGATAACTCTTGACCGTCATTTTTTTTTATCATTTTGATCGGAAATGGACGGAACTTTGAGCGTGTATGCAGGCCCTTAACGAAAGAGGGAATGAAATTTGATTTGAACTTGATCGGTTTCAGGTCTCGGTGGTGACGCGGGACGAGGTGGGCGCCTACAAGCCGTACCTGTGGGAGCAGAGCGTGTTCGACAAGGGGCCGATGTTCCGGGAGTGGCTCCTCACCAAGATCGTCAACGGGGAGCGGGCCAGCTACTCGGCGCCCAAGTTCGCCCGCATGCAGGAGCGCACCAGGAGCCACATGCTCGAGGACATCGTTGCCAACCTGGCCAACCACGCCGAGACCGGACAGATCCCCAAACCCTACAGGTACGAGTACTCGTCAAAAGCCGGAATCGCACGCTCAATTCACGAGCTGAATGTGCCTTGTTTCCAGAAGAGATCGGGTCCGCAATGAAAGAGAGAGTCAGATCATGCCCAAGTAGCATTTTTCAATGTAAAGGTTGCAACAAGTTGAAACAATGTTGGTATTAGTTGCAACAAAATTGCAGGTTTCGGTCAACTTTTGGTCGATAAGTGCCGATTTTCAGCGATCTGATGGGAAGACAAAGTTGCAACCTGCTGAGATTTCAAAATTGCTGAACCAAAGTTGTTTAAAATCTGAAGATAGGCAACTAGCGATACTTTGAAGTTGAAACATGTTTCAACTTAATTGCAACTAGTTCCAACAATAATAGCTCCTTTGGGGGAGGGAGTAGGCAATCAGCACATCAATCTATCAGTTGCAAGTATCAAACGATTTTGTTGCAAGTTGTTGCAACCTCTGCTGCTTGGGTGGGAGTCGAAAATGACATCATATTCGACGTCATGACCAGACAGCTTGTCTGGTATGGTCATGTCAATAGAATGACGGACGAAAGGCTGCCAAAGAAGTTGCTTGATTGGGTTCCTAATGGGAGGAGACGAAGGGGACGCCCAGTAAAAGGGTGGCGACAGGGGATTTAGAAGAAATGAGGGTTTGCCAACTCCCTGCAGAGCTTTGGGAGGACAGGGGACTTCGGCGGCTAGGAGTCGCAGAGCGCCAGAGAGCGCTATAAAAGCGGTTGTATACTTACATACATGTGCCTTGAATGTGGAAGTCATCGGCCCGATGTCTGGATTTTGCGCGACACGTGCTTATGAGTCTCAGCGAACTTTGAAATGTCGGATTTGTCTGAACTATTCGAATAGATTTGATTCAAATCTTGATGAAGATAACTCGAATTTGCAAAATTTCAGCCCTTTGGCGACGACTTTCATATTCAGCTACCAAATTCAGCCTGTGATTCCGGCATAAGTATCATTCAGCTCCTTCGGGTGCCTTCAGAGTAACCAACTATGGAAATGCTGGTCTTAACTTTGCATACGTAACCACTTTCCTTATAAATCTGCCGTGATATCGAAGAAAGCCGCAACTTTCAAATATTCAATGACGAGTTTCTTCCAAAATTTGTCTGATCTCATCTTCTAGATGAAATCACTGAAACAACTCATAAAGAACAATTCTTCTTATTTGTATGAAATCTAGACTCTTGAGAAAACCGTAAGAGCGAAAAATGCGCGTTCTTGTAGACAAAACAGCCGGGAGGAGCATTATTGCCCCAGAAAGGTAGTATAGGAGCAGCTTTTTTTAGTAAAAGGGCACCCTTTTCTACGAATTTTGTACCTGAAAATGTGTTTGTTGTCGTCCAAAACGCAACTACAAAAGCATGCGGTAGATAGCACTTACGATTGTCTGGCCTAAATGAAAAAAAAAAATGCCCTTTTAACGAAAAAAAGGCAGCTTTAATTCATAAACAGAGATAGAAGAAAGCGGTTCCTCTCAAAAACTTCTTACTCGCAGAATCCCTAATGCTAGGACATTGGATGCAACTATTCGTGATCGGTGGCTGCCTATGTTGCATACGGTCGAAATGAAGGCGCTTTAACTTTCCGGGCCTTATGGAAGCAGTCCTAGTCCTTACATCCACGTTCATATATGCAACTATCTTGAATCTTGAATGTTGGTGTCTTTCAGGCGTGGATCGTGGCGACCCATCGGACACATGCGACCGTCGAGTCCGCTGCTAGACTCGGTGCGCGACCAGTTCGAGGACTACGATCAGCTGGCCAAGGACTTCACCCGCGTCTTCCTCAACTCCGAGCCCAACATCACCGTCAACGCCAACCTCTTCGACGTCGTCTTCATGGTTGGCCAGAACAAGCAGCGCGCTAAGAGGCTCATCGGTGTCCGGGCCATCCTTGGCGTCCGCAGTCGGTGAGTAAATGCACTAACTTGCCGATGGGCCAGTTGCGGTGGTCACAGAATTGTGCTCTGATGTTTGATTCCTGTAGCTCAGATAAAAATAATAAGATCTGTCTATCAGTCTATCAGTCGTATATCAGTCGGATATATAGTCATATCATGGCATGTATTATGACGTCATAAATCGAGATTTTCAAGGCTTCATAGCTCGGTTAATATTCAACGCAGAAAGTTGATGTTTGGATGGATCTTATTATTTTTAGTTAATTTCGAATAATAAAGCGTCAAAACAAGATTCTGTGACCAGCCCAACTGGCACATTACGAACGACAATCTCTGACCCAGTCTAGAAAAAACATATTTGCCACGTAGAATTACATGTTGCAAATAGGAACTAAAATTTCTAACACATTTTAACAACAGCGTATGAACCATTAGTTTTCCCACGCACATGAGTGTTTCGACCGATGGGCCAGATATTCTACTTCTAAATTGCAAATTGGACGAATATATGTTAAAAAGAACTACGTAAAAATAAATAGATCAAAAGGAACTGTGTTGCTTGCAAATCCTATGCACATGCGGTTCCTATGATTCAATCAATTTTCACATGGTTCTCCTTAGCATAAATACGTCCAATTTTAATACATTTGTTTCCCTTTGCATGTACGTGTTTTTACAGATGAGGTAAAAATTGTAGTTTCTAATCGCAGTGCCTTCACATTCTAAATGATATCTGCTCGGTAAAAAAAACTATGGCGTTGTATGATCATTGCTCTGAGGACGATTACGTTCTAATCTACGAAAAAGTTCTACTATTTTTCTGTTACAATTGTGTCGTAATGAAAGGCATTCCTGTTTCTGAAGAACAGAAATACATATCATGGAGTCTAAGAAGAGAGAAGTCACGTGTGATTCGTCATATAAAGTAAGTGTTATTGTGGTCGAGGTTTTTTGATTGGATTTCATTGTTGGGAGTTCAATGAAAATTGAGTCATCGTCAAGAAATGAAATAATCCAAGTGAACACTTGAATACGAACTAATTGAAAAAGGCATGGGTTTTCTGGGACAAGTAAAAATTTAAGACCTCTCTGAAGAGTCGCTCCATATTGATATTATGGTGTGTTGCGGTGTCAACATTGATAAGGAAACGTACTGCGTATCGCTGCACTCAAGAACACAGCATTCTGTTGGGCCACGGAAGGATCAAAATTACCGGTTCGATTGAAATTCTCCCCACCTCCCTCCCGGCCACCCTCATTTCACAGAGAAGTCGATTCTTGGAATTTATTTACTTTTCCGACCCTTATAAAGGGACGGAACCCCACTGTGTCGGATTGAACGAAGGTTAAAAGGCTCTGCCGCCAAGCCTGACCGCGAGCTAACCGTTTTAAAAATAGACGGCGCTCTCCCGGGATGGAGACACAAACCCACGGGGATCGAAAACGGGTTGAAGTTGAGACCCCGAAATCAATCAATACAGGGATGAGAGTGTCGCTGCATGAGTACACGCCGCGCATCCTGTTTGCTAACGCCGTGTCATGCCTGGACGCAACCAGTGCGTCGCAGTTCCTGTTCACGCCTTCCGGGCACAGCGAGTTGTTTACCCTCAGATGCCCCCCCCCCCTCCCTCCGACATCAATTCGTCTCGTGGACTGAAACAAAACACTACTAATCTTTGACAGAGGAAATACTACGGTTTCCGGGGCAAGAAAAAGGAAAACACACTTTGATTGTGTGTACGTCGTTTCTCAGGCCAACAAACCTACTAAATATTCCAGTCCAGTCCAGTCCAGTCAAATTCGCTCTAAAAAATGGCAATCCAGGAAAATCTATTTACATAAGGTTTCTTTGCGAAAACATATTGCAATCGGCTACCAGAACAATATCTAAAGTTTACTGGTATCGGCTCTCCGCTAAGGTCACCATCTTGAAAAAGAGGGCTGGGAAGGTTAAGTACGTCACCGGCGACAGGTTTTTTGCTTATATCTCGAACAAAATCAATCCTATGGAAAAATGTCTTTTATGACCTTTTTTGAAGAGCACAACATTTCCAATCAGAAATACTTAACTTTAATAATTTGTGACTCCTGGTTTTCAAGATATTGCGGTAGTTCTCTGCGGCTGAGAAAGTTGAATTCTGCTTAAAATCGCATTTTTCCCTCAAAATCTGCAATTATTTTCAAAACGTTGAGTCTGAGGAAAACAGTTGTTCTATCTGAAATGAAAGAGCATATAATTTCCAATAGAACAGTGCTTATTTTTTTCCTGATAAAAAAAGGTACCCGTATTAAATTTTTAAGACTCATACTATACTTGACTAAGAGAACAAACCCTCTATGCAAAATAATCAAGCTTAATTTTTAGTTTTTTGGAGGTCAAATTGGACAGTTTTCGTGGAATTGCCTGTATCGACGGTGTAAGTCGGCAATCACATAACTCAGTTTGCGACGTCGAAGACTTCCTGTCATACTTTATTTTTTAAACGAAAAACTACTCAACGGCAATTCTTTCAAACTACCGTGATTTTTCTTTCCTGTGAGAAGAAAATTCTGCATACACTTCAAGGAATAATGCCAATGTGTTATCCTTTAAAAAAATAAAATAGAGGCGGGGATTTGCAGACACCGCAAACGAGATATGTGATTCCGGACTTACGCCGTTGTTATGTAATTTAAAAGCTATCAGCAATAATAATTACTGTTACTTAATGTCGTTTTGCTTTTTAAGCTGAACTGCTGAAGGTGACTGCACTATGTTTGGTGCAATGTATGAAGTATTCTTGCAGTCTTGAAGGAATTTCAATGCTCCGCAGCAAAACTACCTGACATATTTTCACAGTGAGGAGGGCTTAATTTCCTAACTTTTACAGAACCTGTCACCCTGTCTATCCCTCAGAAATTCAGTGAACCAGATGAGATTCAATGAGGGTCGTTGATAACTTTACCACTAAATTGATACCGCTTAAAGGATTTTGGAGGGAGCAATTTTACCCACTAACATTGTTGTCAAACAGGGTTTATTCATCAGAGCCCTGAATTGAGGAACCAAGAGAAAATAATTTGTTTTCATTTACTCCTCAAAGATGATACTATGACCATGATGCAGGTCAGTACCTATGAGAACTATATAGATCTCATAAAATTTCAGTAAACCTTGTCGCTGGGGGAAAGATCTAATACATACTGAAGATAATCATCGAATAATGTACTCTCCTAAATATAGACAAAAATTACAATGAAAATGTTCATTATTTGATGAAAAATAAAGTACAAGAATTTTCAGAGTCTCAGAGGACACCAAGAATGCCAAAAAATCTTAAAATAATTTCCTTTCACAAACAAAAATAAAAATGACACTGAACATTTTTAGCAGGGCTTCTTGATAATCAGAGATAAAAAATTTTGAGAGCTTGACACTTTTAATCCTTACAATTTTTAGATTGTAACACTAATGAGGTCTGGGAAGCTGTTGAATGCCCTGATTTCCAAACTTCTATTACTCAAGCAGCTGCACACATTTCTTTGAATTTCAATTCCATGGTAAAATTATTTCTATTGCATTGTAGTGTTGAGAATGTTGCCTATTTACTCATTGAAGGAACGATTTTTAGAGCAATTAATTTGAAATAAGTACCTACCGTTGTTGCAATTTATCATTGAATTTCTTCGTATTTCTTTTCTTTCTTCTTTTTCTTTTCTTGGGATTCTACAATTGTATTTCTTTTCAGGGATATCTACAGTTGTGTAGATTTTGATTTTTAAAACTCATCTCTTTTCAAAACTAAGAGAGCGTTGAAATAATTATCATACCATAATTATCATTACCATGTATAACTTTCTGCAAAATTTGCCTCAGTTGATGCTCTCACAAGTTCAGTTGTAAAGTCAATTCAGCCATAGCTTTCCGAAGAAAATTTCTTCTTCGATCTAACAATTAATGATTAATCGTCGAAATAGCTTTGAACTGATTAATTAAAAATGACAGTCAAGGGTGTAAAAAAATAAGACGGATCCGAGAAACTTTGCTACACAGCAAGGAGATATCCACTTCATAGCTATAAGCATTAAATGGATTACATTTTGCAATTAGGAGCCACTATTTCTGGTCCATTTTAGAAACAGAATACATGCTATTGGTTTCCCTATGCAGATATGTGCTTCTATGGGAGAGCCAGAGGTAATGGTTCCTTATTGTAAAATGTAATCCAATTCCTTCACAAGTGCGGGACTTCATTTGGTAAAATAACAGTTTTCTTGCAAAAATGAGATGATATAAACTCCAAAAAACCCAAAAACTTGGGTAAAGAGACTCCGGGCACGTCACCATCCTCTTGCCAAAAACCTCCAAAAGCTCTTCTTTGTTCCCCTCTTCAGTGGAAAAAGAAAATATCACACTACGACAGTTTCCATTTCTGTCATAGAGTACCCCAAGCGGACCAAAGAACGGAACTCTTAGTCGTTTACACATTTACCTATTTAACAAAATCTCCAGGAGGTCACAGACAGGCTGGCAGCCCCTCATCGGACCAAAACGCACACCGTACCATTTTTTTCCTTGTAGGTATGTGCCTCCAAAGTACATGAAATGACTCCTTGAGGGGCGGGCAAGTTTTATTGAAATTCACGTTGTCTTCTGAAAATGAGCTAAAATTTTTACCTTGAAGAAGAAGAAAATCGAGTTATCATTTTCTTCCATACACGGTAGGTATGCCTATGAGAGGCACCAGGAACGCCTTCCAAAATTATTGATGCAACCCGCACGACTCCGAAGTCAGCGGAAACTTTCTTGAAGCGTCTCCTAAGATTTTCCCTACGCAATAATCCCCTTCAAAAATGAATGATGCAACAAGCGCGTCCTGTTTGACCACGAAAGCTCCTCAGACTCAGATGAGAAGTCTTTTGGTCTGGTCAGAAAAATATTCGAACTTTATTTTTCATCTTCTCTTCTCATTTCCCGCATTGACGGAGGCGAAATTTTTTGGAAAGCATGACGCGCCCGGCCCAATGCGTAAGAAAAAGTGCGAATAGAATATGACCTTCCATTATGAATGATCGTTCAGGAATACTTGTACAACAAAGACGGTACTGTTTATTTGGAAGTGTACAAAGCCTCCTCGTAGTCATAATTGACTTTTTCATTTCTGATCCCGTACTATCAGTTCGGAAATTGGCCTCATTCTCAGTGAGCCCGAACATCTGTTTCCTAAATATTTTTAGCAGTCTATCTACAGGTTGATCCTCAGTGAGAGCATTGGGCCGGGCGCGTCATGCTTTCCAAAAAATTTCGCCTCCGTCAATGCGGGAAATGAGAAGAGAAGATGAAAAATAAAGTTCGAATATTTTTCTACCAGACCAAAAGACTTCTCATCTGAGTCTGAGGAGCTTTCGTGGTCAAACAGGACGCGCTTGTTGCATCATTCATTTTTGAAGGGGATTATTGCGTAGGGAAAATCTTAGGAGACGCTTCAAGAAAGTTTCCGCTGACTTCGGAGTCGTGCGGGTTGCATCAATAATTTTGGAAGGCGTTCCTGGTGCCTCTCATAGGCATACCTACCGTGTATGGAAGAAAATGATAACTCGATTTTCTTCTTCTTCAAGGTAAAAATTTTAGCTCATTTTCAGAAGACAACGTGAATTTCAATAAAACTTGCCCGCCCCTCAAGGAGTCATTTCATGTACTTTGGAGGCACATACCTACAAGGAAAAAAATGGTACGGTGTGCGTTTTGGTCCGATGAGGGGCTGCCAGCCTGTCTGTGACCTCCTGGAGATTTTGTTAAATAGGTAAATGTGTAAACGACTAAGAGTTCCGTTCTTTGGTCCGCTTGGGGTACTCTATGACAGAAATGGAAACTGTCGTAGTGTGATATTTTCTTTTTCCACTGAAGAGGGGAACAAAGAAGAGCTTTTGGAGGTTTTTGGCAAGAGGATGGTGACGTGCCCGGAGTCTCTTTACCCAAGTTTTTGGGTTTTTTGGAGTTTATAATAATTACTGTTACTTAATGTCGTTTTGCTTTTTAAGCTGAACTGCTGAAGGTGACTGCACTATGTTTGGTGCAATGTATGAAGTATTCTTGCAGTCTTGTATGTGCTAATATGCGTCTTGCGCCGACCAGCGACCGCACTGTATTTGGTGCAATGCGTGAAGTATTTCTGCAGTCTTGTAGGCGCTAATTTGCGAGCCGCGCCGACCAGCGGCGGCCGAACTATGTTTGACGAGAATTGAAACAATGATACAGCATTTGATTCGAAAGAAACTGTAGAAAAAGGTGTAGGCTGAAAAAAACTAATGAAACGGTTCACGTAGAGTGCAGACAAAAGTATTCGAATAAGAGTCCATCGAAAAATAAATGAATACAAGAAGCAGAAGCTAATGCTACTATATTTTTACCCGTGAAAAAAGACTCACGTCGGAGGAAAATTTTTACGTAAAGAGACAGCGTTTATTTTGTCAGTAAACACTAAAGAGTAAAGAAATAAGGGCATATTTATGTAAACAAGTAAATAAATTCTCTCCTAAAACACACTTTCTCCAAAAAAAAAAAAAAACCATATAACAATATGGACACATTTCTATCAAACGGAACTATATGCATTATGACGTGAGCCCTGTTATGCATATATTTATGTGGGTCTCAGGGCTCGTGTCTTGATGCACGTAGTTCCGTTTGATAGAAACGTCCATATGATGAAAGCTATTAAAGAAAAACTTACGGAGCCCCCAACTATATTTTTAAATGATGTGATCGCGAACGAAAGAAAAGTGATGGAAACTCATGGAGAAGAAAATCGTAGGTAGTTTCACACGATATATATGGCAGCGACGAGACCCAGACCTTTCTTATCTCAAACGCAATCAGGTCAATGATTTTATGTACACCGCAAATTTAGACCCGACTAATTTTGAAGACTACGTTTAAGAAAGACTAACTTTAGGAAAGTAAGTTTTAGAGACTAATTTTGAATGATGTATCAAAATTAGTGGGGAATTTCTATTACCGTCAAATTCTCTTGCTCTCAATTAGTTTTGCTTCAAAGTCTACGTAATAATTCATTAAAAGTCTTATAATGGATGAGAGGGGGCCTCAGCCTCATACGTAATTTGGCAATCAATTAGACTTTATTAAACTCGTTGTATACGTGTCTCAACTGCACTAGTTGTGTTTTTTTATTATGTATTGAAGGAAAAGTTATTATTTTTGCGTAAACTATTAATTCCATGAACTTATTCGATGGTGAGTTAGGGATAGACTCCTCTCAAATAAATGAGTCATATTAATAAAGAGGTTAAAAGAACGTTTTTATTTTGAGACACTCATGCTAATTTTGCATCATTAGTGGTGAGCGTGATGTTAAACCAATCATCTGACTATGAGTTGTTAGTTGCGAAGTGGTCCTGGTTTCCCTCCTGAACTTGGCTATTCCGTATACGACGCAAGTTTTAAAACCCCTTCAAAATGTGACGATGCAACCAATGCTGCCTCTGCGGGGTGCAGCCTTTGCTGTCTTACACAGCACTGTTCTCTGATCTCACAGCTCTGATCTCTGTGATTCTGACAATGCTATTTTAAAGATGCCTTTGAATTTAATTTTTATAACTTCAAAATTATATTCTCAGCTCAAAATTGGCACAAAATACGAATGATGACTCCATAAAATCATTTTTCATTTCCAGTATATCCCAATGTAAAATGTTATGACGCGACAAAATTGAAAATCGCAGTGCTATAGTCATTTTAGTACAATGCAAACACTAAATGAAGTCATACTATAATTTTAGTATCGCTAATTTTATAAACCTTCACTTGTTTAGGAATACAGTAATTTTTGTGTGTTTATTTTGTATGAGTGAAAGAGTAATTTTAAATTGAGTATTTCCGATAAAAACAAATTTGTTCGGATGCTGAGAGTAGTATGTTATTACAACTTTTCACTCAGTTTTCCGTCGAAAAGGTTACAAAGTTAGATTGGACGCCTCACATTTAAGTCTTCAATGAGCTTTTTGTCCCTTTCTCGTCGTCTGGTTCCAAAATTGCATGATCGAAAATTTCATCTGTTCGTAGGAAAATTTTAGAAACAATCTAAACCATTTGAATTGGATATTACGTTACGAAATTTCTGGTTATCTTCAGCTCGTCCCCGAAAAATTGCTGTAACTCGATGATTTTTCAACCGAATAAGCTCAAAGTTTGAGATTTGATAGCTAATAGTATAGACCACAACCTACTACAAACACCATTTCGATATCTATCATACTTCCCGAATTATAGACTTGGTCTCAGTTGTTTTGGGACACCCTATGTAACTATAGAGTCTCTCGTTGAGTACCGATGGTTAGTCTATTATCTACCTCCTTTATCCATTGCTACCACCCGTGTCCACCAATAGGATCCTTCCATATCCCTTATGTTTTCTTTGTCTTTAGCTTTGTCTATTAATTTCAACAATCAGCCCGCTGGTCGAGGAGGAAATTGGAACCACCCTGAAACGTCCCAGGCATTCTGTTTCCTCCAATAAGATCCCTCCATATACCTTACGTCTTCTTTGTCTTTAGCTTTGTCTATCAATTTCAACAATCAACCCGCAGGTCGAGGAGGGGATGGAAATCACCCTGAAACGTCCCAGGCAGTATGTTTCCATCAATAGAAGCCATTCATCTCATATGGCTTCTTTGTCTATAGCTTTGTCTATCAATTTTAACAATCAACCCGCTGGTCAAGGAGGGGATTGAAATCACCGTGAAAGGTCCTAAAATTACTACCGTCACACCGCATATGATATTTTTTGTATTCAAAGAAGAGGGGGAAAATATTTGATAAAAAAAGGTACCCGTAATAAATTTTTAAGACTGATACTATACTTTACTAGAAAAAAAAACTCAATCCAAATTAATCTAGCTGAATTTTTAGTAATTTGGAGGTCAAATCAGACAGTAGAAATTGTCCATATGCGTTTCACGCCGACCAGCAACCGCACTGTTATTTGGCGCAATGCGTGAAGTATTCATGCAGTTATGCAGGCGCTAATATATGCGTGTTGCGCTGACCCGCGACCGCACTGTGTTTGGCGCAATGCGTGAAGTATTCCTGCAGTCTTGTAGGCTCTAATAGGCTACCTATTTTGTTCCGTGCAGGCATTCTGTTTGTTTTTAGCTTCGGTTTGCCTCGTGTGTTCTGATTTCCTATGAATAATTTTTGGTTGTGCTTTCGGCAGAGTGTTCCAGGAGATGCTGTACGGGATCTCGACTGGTTTCGGGTCGCCGCAAGTGCCGGTGGCGGAGATCCTGGCCCGGGCAGTGCCGTCCCTTCCGAGCCCTCAGAAGCCGAAGAGCAGCAACTACTTGCAGGTGCCGCCGATCGAGACCCCGCGCCCGAAGAGCGTGCCCAGCTCGCCGATGGTCAAGAGGGCTTTCTCGCGCCTCGGAACCCTCGCCGGTTGGGGCCGCTCCATCCGCAAACCCTCCGTCGCCCTCTCCGCCGAAGACAAGAAGAAGTGGGCCTCCTCCCAAGACTGCTCCTGTAAGTCTCCGTCCTTCTAAAACACACCTCTTTAGGCCCTGTCCACACGAGCGCAGTTCGCGGAACTTATTCCTCGAACTGCTCAGTTCCCGGAACTTATTCCTTGAAACGAGGCATGGTGTCCACACGAGTTCGCCCGAACTGGAACCGGAACTTCAACAAAACTATACAATTATTGCAAAATAATAGATTATTACGACCACCAAAGTGACAAAAATAAATGTCAAGATATGTAAAGGACGTAAAAAACAAAAACAAGCAAATTCACACCAGACGAAACATGTAGAAGCTAGGAGTACGGGGGAAGTTCCGGGTTTTGGAGGAATAAGTTTTAGCTCAGCTAAAAACTAGTTCCGGGAACAAGTTCCTCGAAATAAGTTCCGCGAACTGCGCTCGTGTGGACAAGGTTTTACTGGCTAATAGAGAATTTGCAGGTGTCTGAAATTTGATGAATTTCGTGTGTAAGTGGAAACTACTGAGTGAACTGAACACGAGGATACCCTTGGTTAATGAATTGAACAATTATTGGAGAAGATAAAACAAAATTATCTAATCTGCTAAAATTCACGTGTTAAATGGGAAATGCCGCCAGATGACGTCACTAAGTGGTGTAAATTCTCACTTTTAAATCTATTTTTATACTGTTTCCTATATCAGAAAAAAATTATGAAAAATCCTGTGAGATCAGCTCTTTAAGCACTTTCAGATGAAGCAATACAAAATTTGCCTGCAAATTCTCCATTGCTTATAAATCCAAACAAAATCTATAAATGGACAGAGTTTAACAGGAAGGAACCAACCCACATAAAGTTGAAACTGAGAAAAATAGGTTTTACGTTTTATTCCTCCATAAGGTTCAATGTAAAAAATTAACTTTAACTCCTCTTAACACAGACTGATTTTTTTCTCGACTTTGAGTTTTTGGCGAGGGGATTTATACGACTAGTTGTTAATATATTTGTCGCAGGCAATTAGCAATCACCGGCAATATGCAAGCAGTTTATATGTTGCACCAATAACTCGCGATGATGCGCATCGACATAATAAAATTTTTAAGGATTATTGTCTTCAAAAGCAGTAGCTCGCCTTGGAGCGTCCTCATTTTTTGTGATACTCTACGCTTTGTCACTAAGTTAGTTTAGTTGCCTATCCGATCTCAACCCAACTAATGTTACGGAGTTCACTGCAGGCTCTTCTGAGAGTGCCTATTTATACTATGTTTTTACGGTGGGAAAAGTGCTTATTCACGTTATAGACAACATCATCAGCATACTAATCTTATTATTTTGTTTTTGAATTTTATGCTTCTCTGCATTTATTTACCACTGGCTTGCAAATTGCCTGCGATTGCTAATTGACTGCGACATATCCATTCAGGAAACTATGAAAGTTGAAATAATGAACATGGAACGAGAAATAAAAAAAAAAAAAACAGAAAAGAAAAAAAAAGGAAAAGAAAGAAGTGAATGAGAGTTTATCCGAGGAAGCAAAAGAGTTGGTCCGCGCTGCCACGGGCTCAACTAGAATTGCGGAGGCTTAAATACCACGAACTGAGCGTAAATCACGACTTTCAGTTTTGCACGGTCTGTAAAACAATGACATATTATGTTCTGACTGATGTTAATCATCTATTTTGCAGCGAAAGAGGCTAAGGAAAAAGAGAAGGAGAAGGGTCAACCTCCGCAATTAGCCGTGCCAAGGCTGAGCGTCTGTGCGGATGCTCAGAAGGTGGACCGCGCTAAAATGGCTCAAGTCGAAGTAAGTCAAAATAATTTATCAATGGGAATTTAATATGTCGTATAGTACTGACAAGGATTCTCTGTTCCGTACGAGCAGTGATGAAAATAATTAGCCTGAGACGATTTGAGAAAATAACCCGGATTTCGACTTTGAATTTGGCTCTCAAGTCTCTGCAAATTTTGTTTGACATTTCTTTCAAAGAAAATAATGTCTAAAGTGTGCACAACAACTGAGGCGTCTTCTGCCGTGCTGAGGAAAAACGCCTTATGAGCCTTTAGACGCTGCCAGATTTCCTTCACTAAAAACCACATTCACTGGTAAAATTTTGAAAATATTTTTGCAAAATATTTAGACAATTTTGTACGCCATTCAATCTAAAGTATCTGAAAATTTCAAGGAAAAATGTCGTCAATAATACATGTTTGGTAAAGGGAAATTTGGCAACACTCGAATGTTCATACGGCGTTTTCCCTTAGTACAGCAGTCTTTCTTATTGACGTGTAATTACTCTTGTGAAAACGACTTTCTCATAAGTATTTCTTCTATTAATGTATCTGTCTTTATACTTTGATGTCTGTGTTAAGTATAGTGAATCATAAAAATGCTGACTAATTTGATTCGTTGACTGATTGTAAGAGTTGACTCGTCAAAGGAAATTAAGTAATTCTCGCCAAATGCAACATCCATTGAAATCGCAAATCCCCCCGCGCGAAAGCGAAGGGATGATGACCGTACTTTTGACAACTGCTAAGATTTTTTTTTTTTTTTTTTTTTTTTACAGTTCACAGTAATAGAATTTGACCCGGACACGTTCCGCATCCTGCTTGACTATCTACACACCTCGGCGTGTTCTCTAACCTGCTCAAATATTCCGGGACTCATTTGCGCCGCTGAACACTATGATTTACCTGAACTCCTCCAAGCTTGCTTCCACCATGCCAAACAGTTCCTCCACATCGATGTTGTAAGTTTTCGATTTCAATTCTCCTCTCAAAAATAAGGAGACCTTTTCTATTTTCCATTTTTTCTAATTTTTTGATTTTTGATAAATTGATTAAAATTAAGGTAAAGGGTGGCCCAGGGTGCAGTCCAGCTTACGGAAAGTGCATTTTTTTAGTTTGATAACAAATGGATTTCAATAATTCAGTTCGTGTTCCGGCGTGCCTACTAATTATATTTATTAGAATTAAAATTAAAAATTCAAATTCAAATTTGAATTTAAAATTGAATTTAAATTTCAAAAAAGTCGCCCAGGGTGCAGTCCAGCCTACGCGAGCTGCATTTATTTTATCTTGATAAAAAATTAAGAGGTTTTAATTCAGGTCGTGTTCCTGGGTACCTACTAATTATATTTGTGAATTCATCCGTAAAGTACATTTAGCGGCTCCCCTGACGTCATCTCACGAATCCAACTCCGCGAGGAGACGAGGCAGTAAAGGTGCTGGTATTAGAACAATCAAGTGTTATGAGACGATGGAGGAGGGTTTTGTTCTACTTTTATGTATCTTTTGTTTGCCGACGCTCGCTTCGCGCTCTTGTAAAGTGCGCTGTTGCCGAAACAACAATATCAAACAAATAACAGAGAATATAATTAAAACAATCTACCCACCGCTTACATATTAAAAGGGGGTACAGTGACCGCCACGTGGTCTAATCCGAGTACGCCGTAGTTAATTTTAAATGGTGAGATATTTAGGGTAGCATACCTCCGATCGATAGTCGCTGAAAATCGACTCGGCAAATCCTGAGACATATTGTAACAAAAATACAGCTTTAAATTGTTAAAATAGTTCATATTGTCATATACAAAAACCTGGGTTACATTTTCAGAATCTGAATAAAAAGGGCTCATTTAGGGACTATCACAATCATGTCGATAGCCGCAAATGTCATGGATATTGGCCTGGTAGATTGATAGATCAAACTCTGATAAAAATGAAAGTTTTGGGCGTCGGGCTTTTAGTGATGAAATCATGATTTCACTTGGGCCGTAAAAACGAGGCTCATTTTTGCGGGCTATTCGCACTATTAAAATATCGTGCTCATATAATTTAAGCCGATGTACTATCAAAAGGTGATAAGATCTGTCCAAAAACTAAATTTACACGGCCAACATTAACGGAGGTTAAGATGAGAGTTCTCATAAAACAAAACATGAAAAAAACATAACGATTGACGTCATTTAACGCAACTCCTTCCATACCCTGGTTTCATCAATCGGTGAATTAACGTAAGACGCATCGATGATGAAATCTAGGTGGGAAAAAACATGATATACTCACTACTAAGGCTGGTGGATGACGTACCACGCCGTCTTTCCCGTTGACGTAGAAACTCGTCGTTCAAACAAACCTCATCATCAATTGCTAATTGGACTACATTTTGCAATTAGGAACTATAAATTCTGGCCCGGTTTAAAAACAACGCACGTGCCATTAGTTTCCCTGTGCATATAAGTGTTTTTTCAGATGAGCCATAATTAATAGTTCCAAATTGCAAAATGCAGTCCAATTTATCAGCTTAAACTATCGAAACATAATTCTAACAACTAGCACAACTGAACTATTTGAAATAGATCACTTCAAAACATCGATTTTTTTTCTCCAGTTACACTCATACTATTCGATGCTGTTACAGGTCTGCAATATGCTTTGTTCGCTCGAGAACTACTACTGGCGGTATACATCGGCCTCTGAGCTGGTCAATATGATCATGGCGTTTATTGAGACTAGGGCTCACCAGGTAAAAAAAAAGCTGTCCCAGACAAAATTACCAAATAAATATGATCACAAGAACAAAGATGCTGGCATTTTACTAATTTTTACCATAGGCGGATCTAGAAACTTCGAACGGGCGGGGGCGCAAGGGGATAGGGAGGGCTCCCTCCAGAATATTATCGAAATTGTATTGCATTTAACAAGCATTTATCAAGCATCTAGCATGCAGTTACAGTCAATTTTGTCATGAAAAATCACCAAATACAGGCATTCTTCTTTCTTCCGTCCCTCCCTTCGTCTTGTTCCCCCTCTTCCTTTCTCTTTTTTTTGGGTGAAAGGGAGGGGGGGGGGCGCACAACCCCATCCCTTATTGGATCCGCCCATGATTTTTACAACATCACGCGAGATGATGACAAGTATTGTGCTAGGACTACTGTCCAAGATAAAAGCTAAAATTTTCTGATGTTTCTGCATTATTGTTTTTACTATAAGAAATTGGTTTGTGGGTCTCCATAAGAACAGTTTTAAAGTAGTTTCTAGTTTTTAAAGAAAGTAAATTATGTTGTTGGTTTCTCAATTTTATATTGTGTATCAACATTATTCGTTATCTACAGAAAATGAAAGCTCTTTGAAAAATTGCTGTGCTCAATTTTACAAAGTTTTGATACAATTTTTCGGGATATCGTACGACTTGTTTAAAATATTCTATTACATAATACGAACGCATTGTTCACGCACGACAGATAGCTAACTTTTGACCCCAGTTTATCAACTAAAAATTAAATGAACGTGAAAAAATTTGCTCTACAAAGAATGATCTGTGTAAATTACTTTCAAAAAGGAAGTATAGCATGAAAGAATTAGCAGCAAATGACCTCATTCGAAGGCACATGAAGATAATTTAAATAAACAAGCCGAAAAAATTGTCAAAGTCATTTTTTCATGCATTGTTTCCAATCTTAGAACTTTGATTCGACCATAGGTATTTCATGCGCCGGATTTCCTGAACCTCTCTGAATCAATGGTGCAGATGATAATGTGCCGGAATCTTGAGGTACCTGAAGTTCGCAAGTTCGAAGCCATGCTCAACTGGGCTAAACATAAGATCAAGCACAAAACATCCTCCAAAGTAGATGCCAAATTAGAGTTCAAATGCATCATGGAGAGGCTAGCGCGGGATCTGAAACTGTACAGAATATCACCACAAGATCTGATCAAGGTGAGTAGCCTTCATAAAAGTTTCTAGCCTTTATCATGTTTAATAATAAACCATAAGATTTACTCAGTTATCAGTATGAGGCCAGGGGGTCTCTATGAAAATTTACTTCGACCTTTAAACCACTTTCAAAAATCAATATTACCCTATTATAACTGACTAGAAACGCGCGTACGTGGGCTGGGCAGAAGGAAACAAAATCTAGAGCGCCTTCAAATTCGACTGTATGCAACGCGGACATCCATCGAGTACGTATAGTTGCATTCAGGGGCTTATATCATCGTCGCGTCAAGGGCTACTTCACGCATCGCGCAATGCTTGAAGTATCCCTTTAGGTTTGTAGGCGCCAGTGTTCATTTTGCGCTGGCAACGGCAGCGTGCCATAAACTTGCCCACAATTAATAGGTCAGGGTGTTAAAATGTAGGCAATTTTCCATCAAATTCGAAATTAGCGACTCAAAAAAGCATCGGTTACGAAACTTTCGTGATCTTATTCGACTTATTTCTTCCTATTCCTGAGTTATGGACTGCGCCGCGGGCGGCGGAGCTCATAAAATTCTACCCTGTGCTCAATCGGATAAACCCGCGCTGATCCAAATACTCAAATTGGTTGTGGCCCTGGTTCGACTTAATGACTGATGTAACTATACCTTCTGCCGGTCCCAACTGCTCTTTCAATAGCTATTCGGGAATAGTTGATCGAACTATCCGCTTGCCTTCTTCAAAGTACATACCCTTGCTCGAGCTCTTATATCTTTTATGACTAAAGAAACACGCAACATATATTCACCAACAATGGTGGTATAGTTCCCAACGTGACACCATTTTTTCCGTGCAGGCACCCTAATCTAATGTAGAGTACCTATATTGAGAGAGTATGGCCACTGGGGTTACCACCTCTAATTGGCTCAGCCATCCTAGGCTGAATGGAGCCCTTAGGACCCAAAAATGGCGGACGCCATAAGTTAATGTAATGCAAAATGACTCAAAATGTAGTTTTCTTTGCTTATCGTAACGAGAAATTCACCCAAATGGACTATTACGACTTCTTTACATATTTTTAAGGCTAATCGTGTGCAATTTTCGAGAAAAATTATCTTAGATGCAGTAAGGTTGGCAGCAAGTGCGGTTGGTGATAACCGTCAAAAGTTGGCGATGACCCCCCTCCCATCCTCCAAAACCAAAACAATGCACCGCCATTTTTGGGTCCTAAGCCTCTCCATGGGGTCCAGTGGCCATACTCTCTCAATATAGGTACTCTAATGAAATTCTACCCTGTGCTCAATCGTATAAACCGGCGCTGATTCAAATATTCAAATTGGCTGCGGCCCTGGTTATAGACTTAATGACTGATGTAACTATACCTTCTGCCGGTCCCAACCGCTCTTTCAATAGCTATTCGGGAATAGTTGATAGAACTATCCGCTTGCCTTTTTCAAAGTACATACCCTTGCTCGAGCTCTTATATTTCTTATAACTAAACAAACACGCAACGCATATTCACCAACAATTGTGGTATAGTTACCAACGTGCCACCAGTTTTCCCATGCAGGCACCCTAATCTAATGTGACCCTGCAACGTACTCTAACGGAGAATCATATTCTACGGGTATGCTTGGTTATTTTCAGATTGTGCTTCCAAGCAAAGCGATCCGAAACGAACGGATCCTGGAAACGTTGATGTTCCAGGCCAACTCAGGTATGTACAGGATCCAGGATGACTACCTAGAGGTGTGCCAGCGGCGTCTCCAGAAGCAGGACTCTAAGTTCAGCGAGTGGGAGTCCTTCGACTACGGCATTTAACACCAGGCCAAGGAGACCCTCACCTAACACCTCGCGCTCGCCGCATGTTCCTCCTCCTTCTCCCTTCGTCTACGTCCTTCTCCACTCGTTGAACTAATTCTAAAATTTATTTTTGTAACGTCCCTAACTCCGTTTTCACTCCGCCATTGAAGTGAATTTTGCGAAAATCCCGACCTCTCTCGTCGTGATCGTGAACTTTGAAGGAGGGTTTCGATAGCGATCACTGGAAAAAAGTATCTTGGATCCAGAATCTAGACTCTTATAAAAGTTGACGAGAAAAAATATTCTCAAGTAAACTGATTTTTGCTTGAACCGAAAGGAAATCTGCTTAAATTAAGAGGCTGGTTGCAGTAGACATCCACACGAATCAATTTTTTTGTGTGCATTGGCGGATCCAGCAAATTGGCAACGTTGCTTTTCTCCATTTAAACCTATGGAAATGTATCGATTCTTAGAGGGGGCAAATGCTCCGACAAGAATCGATTATTTAACATAGCTTTAAATGGAGAAAATCCGGTGTTGCCAAATTGCTGGATCCGCCTCTGCTTGTGTGTGTGCGAGTTCGTCGCATTAGGTGATTTTAAAATTTCCGAGGAAACATTCAGATTCGTAGAAAAATTTTGCCTGACAGCAAAACTGCACAAGAAAAATTCGGAAGAAATTTGGAAGAGCTTAGTGAAACTAGAAAGATTATTACTTAATGACACATTTTTTGCTCTTTTTTTATGTTTTTCTTGTCGAATATTTCATGAGTCCGGACTTTGGATCCGAGAGCTTTTTTTCCCAAAGATTGCCTAAAGTATTACAAAATCGATTATTTCCCGAACAGTTGGAAAAATGTTTGTCTTTTAAATGAGCCTAATTTTTAAGAGAAGGTCATCAGCTCACCTTCTTAAACAGACAAAAAATTGAGCACTTTTGAATCATTTTTGTTGGATAAATTGTTTTTATCACAAAAAGTTTCATGAGAGGCTACAATTTGTTTCGCGGAGGGAATTTTCCTCATTTTATCCCCATTGGTACCAATCGGTGTGTACTTCTGGGAGGCATTCTGAAAAGACTAGAGGAATAAATGAGAAATTTGTAAAATTCACCAATGCTCTCTCGGTTGAGATGATTCAGCATGTAAAAAATAGAGATGGTTGCCATATACTGATACTCAATTCCTACTTCACTTGCCATTATCAGTCATAATTTTGCATACGCATTCGTTCATGACAAATGAAAATGAGGAAACACACAACGATTGCAAATGATTGAGTCTGACGTTTGTCGAATTCGTACACTGCTGGACATCTAAAACCGTGCTTCTTAACCCATTCTCACTCGAAACATGTATAGGTCTGGCGGACTTCGTAGGAAAAGCACCGCCTCAACAAAATACTTAACGATAACAATATGTTTCTGTCTGACAACATTTTTACAAAGTAGGCAAATTAAGGCACTTATACAAAGTATATTTTTTAAACCTCTAAGTTTTATACGTCATAGGTAAATTTTTACACTCGTACATGTTCAACCACTTTTTGATATCCCAAAAAAGTAGTTTTTGATACTTCACGTCAAGACTCGGATCGTTGAAAGAAAAATTAACGACGCTAACAAACACGACGCTCTTTGGTGGATCGGCTGGTCTACATTCACATTAGATACAAAACGTACTGCCCGGAGTGTTGTGCAAAAAACTTTGGTGATGACGTCATGTAGAACAAATTCTCGAAGTCTTAGTTTTCCGTTGACATCAAAAGCAGGAACTAAGCGTTTGGACGTATTTTTATTTTTAATAGTCAACGAAATCTAGCCGTTTAAATCTAGTTGTTTGACCTGCACAACTAACGCAGTAATGTATCACACATTCAATTAGCGTACCTACCCACATATTCACAGTCAAGTATTGGAAAAGAGATGTTCATTATCGAGTAGTGGCAGTGACAGCAGCCGGCAGTGCTAGCATGCAAAGATCTGATGATCTCATTGTCTAGAGTCCGAAGTGAGTACCCGTACCTATCGTGCCGCCCTGATCGCTTGACCCGGGCGGTTTGACACCCCCAGTTTAAGAACCAGAAATGCTGCAACAGTCACGGACAGCTTCATTGGTGTCTTATTGCTGTAACATTGTTGCCGCAATAACGACCATAAAGGCTCTTTGCGTTATTGCTGCATGCAAGAGAATTCCAAAAATAGAGCAGGTATCGAGAATGATGTTTGCTGGTTTTATCTAAAATCGTGTTGGATCAAACTTGAAACATGGTCTCATTTCTGTTAGGGTTTAGTCGCCCTAAAGGGAGGAAAGTGTTTCCCAAATATATGGATCTTTGTGGAGCCATACAGAAAATCGGCAAGTTACTTTTTAATGCACTGCCAAGATTCAAGGAATCTTGTTCAAATCACTGAAAATTGTATTTAAATTTAGCGTTTAAGGTGATTCGATGGACGCCATATTTTGTGTCAAAACGGCATGCGATATATCGTATCAATTGGTTCCATTTTTTCAGCTACTCGTCATTTTTCTCCAATTTTGAGATCGCAATTCTGTTTTCAGGAGGCTAAAGCACTCACTTACCAATTTTAATGAAGAAATTCAACGTAATAAAGGTGTGGTTTTTTCAGAGAGAAAACATCGCATTCGATACTGATATCGAAACTGCACTCGAATGCGATATTTTCTCTTTAAAAAAACCACGCCTTTATTATGTTGAATTTCTTTGTTAAAATTGGTAAATGAGTGATTTAGTCTCCTGACAACAGAATTGCGATCTCAAAATTGGAGAAAAATGACAAATAGCTGAAAAGATGGAACCAATTGATGCGATATATCGCATGCCGTTCTGACACAAAATATGGCGTCCATCGAATCACCTTAATTTATCGTCAATTTGTAACTATATTTGTGATAACATCATCCTTAAGCAGAATTTAAAAGTTCTTAGAAAAGTAGACCTTCTTTTCTAGTGCGCTTGACTTCATAAATTAAAGCGCATTATATAAAGTCTGCAAAGATTGATCTCTATTCAAGTGACTTGAACAGAGATTTTTTTTATATTTGAATGAAATTAGAGAAATGTGTAAGCACTTGTAGCCTGCCTTAATTTTAATCAGGTTTTTTCCCTATATGACCTTTTTATGCAAGTGGTTACGAACCAATGTTTAGTTCAAACGAAGCACCAGTACCCAAAACTGCAAAATTAACGAGTCACGTTCTTCAACTCAATTTGACTCAAACCACAACTTTCAAAAGTCAATTTTCAAAATTATTAGTTAGATTAATCGGGACAGCGCTCTCCCAAAAAAAACCCCGTTTTTTAGGACTGATTTGGCAACGTGAACCTGATTTAGTTCGGCATTTCAGGTCTAGTTGGGGGCTCCCACTGCCGCATGCCTGTGCCTCCTGATGCATCTTCTGATGAAGCCATCATTAAATTTGCTCCTCGTTAAATGCCGCTAATTTAAACGTTCGCGAAGCGTGTCAGACATTTTGAACTTTGCAACAAGTCACGAAGAAAAAAGAAGGAGGCAGGAACAGTGCATAGCTATGCACGGAGCGGCGCATGTTAATTTTTAATATTTGGCATGTAAAATTACGCTCCAATTGAGATACCTACTTCCAAGAAATTATTAACGCAACATCAAGTTCTTGTATAAGCTGAAGAGGTATTAATATTAATCAAGCTGGTAAAATTTGTTGGTTTGCGAGTTAAGGTGAGTTCGTAAATCCGCGCGAAAGTTCGAGTCAAGCGTTGAAAGTTTATTTGTTAAGCTGTTATTTCACACGATGAGAGAAATGCACGGTAAAAATTTCCTTGGCTGTATCCGTAAGCCAAGAAACTTAGTACCTGGAGCCAAGATTTTCAGTCCCGGCTATCGCATTTTGGTTGAACCGCCAAACGCTTGGAATTTTATGTCAATCCATCGGAATTTTTGTCGAACATGGGTAGCCGAAACCAAGAATTTCGGCTCTCGATGCCATGTTTTTTGGAATGCAGATATTGCCGAAAAGCGAGTTTTACTTTGCATAGAACACCCTCTTCTGTTAGATGAACCTTCAAAGTTCAAGTTATAATGCAAAGAAAAAACAGAAAATTCATTCAGAGGAAGGCTTTAAGTTCATGTCATTAATTTTTTAAGTAAGCTAAAAGTTCGCATTAGCGAATGCGCATAGCAAAGTGAGGCACCTTTTTGCCAAAACTTAAATGAGAAAATAAGTTTAATGGTGTACATTTATAATTTTTTCCACAAGTAGAAAAAAAAACTTGCGGAGCACTCTGCCATGGAAAATCTTTAAGTTCGATATCGACTCCTTACAGTAACCACACAAAATTTAGATGCCGCAATAATCTTAACTATTATAAATGCAATGAAAAGGTCAGCGCCCGAAAAAACCGGAAGCATCGGCGAATCCAGCAAATTGGCAACATCGTTTTTCTCCATTTGAACCCATGGGACGGAATCGATTCTTAGAGGGGCCAGGTGCTCTGACAAGAATCGATTATTTAACATAGGTTTAAACGAAGGAAGTGTGGTGTTACCAAATTGCTGGATCCTCCTCTGCCCGAGAGTTTTTGTATCATTAGATATAGAGGTTCTATACACGGAGAAAAAAACATCGTGCGTGGGACCCAAAGTTTAGGTCATATGGATCTCTGAAGTTTTCAGATTGAGCATCTGAACACTTTAGGTCTAGCTGTCGAGGTTCGGATCACACATCTGAAACTTCAGTTCTTACATCTGAAGTACTTCAGATGTGAGAACCAAAGTTTTTCGGATGTGAAAACCGAAGTACTTCAGACGCGTGATCCAAACCTCAGCAGCTAGACCTTAAGTGTTCGAATGCTCAATCTGAAAACTTCAGAGATCCATACGACCGAAACTTCGGGTGCCACGCACGAAGTTTTTTTCTCCGTGCGCCTCTGCCCGAGAGTTTTTGTATCATTGGATGAAGAGGTTCTATAAATATGCCCTCAACAGGTGAAATAAAACATGGATCATTGACATGACTCAGATAATCCCTCCGGACGCGTGGATAATTAGGTTAGATACTGGTCATCTTACAACACAACCACTAACACCGGGCAGTTGGAACTCGTATCCGATTAGAAAATGGCCGAGTGTCGTCGATAAATTAAGCGGGTGCGGGCATTGTCACCGAAACATTTCGTTAGATCTCTTGATTACCTTGGAGTCTCTTACGTTTTGCCACATCGTCTGTGAAATGTTCTTTTTTCTTGTAAAAAAATTTACCAACAGTGGGAAAATAAATTTTTAGAACATAAATAATGAGTCTAGATACAGACCTAATGAATGGGGGACAAATAAATTAATGAAACAATAAATAAATAGATGAATAAACAAATAAAAAAGTAAAAAAATGTATGAATGGATAAATAAATAAATAAATAGATAGATAGATAGATGAATAAAAATG